TTATTCCTTTTTGCTCCCCAAAACAAAATCAACACTGCACCGTGTGTAACCTCCCAGAGGGAGTAAAATTGCAGGTAGGCTGTTGAAGCTAGGGATGATAAATATATATCTGTTCGGTTGTCTTCACTGCTTTTGGAGAGAACTAAGCAAAGCAAGCTCCAGTAGACCAAGAGAAGAAAAGACGCTGGCGTTGGATAGGACACACATTGAGAAAACCGAACAATATAATTAAAATATCTTTGCATTCATTGATTTCGCCAGTGGTATCAGGGGGCCGACCGTCCAGAAAGCAATGGCAAACTACTGGACATAAATTTGCCTAGAGAAACCACACAACAGCCAGGTGCTGCTGGGGTTGGTTCTGCAACGTCCTGTAAAGGATACGCAACTTTTGCATTCAAACCCGTAGGAATAAAGTAAGGTCAAAAACACATGGAGAAGTGAGTTGGAGAATGAAATTAGAAAGATAGGGAGGACATAGGGAGAGGTGCATACAGCAAAGGATTGATAGAACGACTTGAAGTGAGTTGGTTGAGGGCCTATGCTCCATTGGGGGCTAGAAAGGCGGAAGACGAATCTTCACTGCATGTCCATAGTTGCTCAGATTCCCCATTCAACATATACATCAGCATCCAGGGGACATTAGCACCAAATATACACAGGTTGATGGCATGTTATCATGCCTGTTTTTACTCCCAATAATTGCAGTTGTAACTGTGCACCTCAAATCTTCTACCCAAAATATTTGTTGTCCTCAGCCTCCCACTACCATAAGTTTGAACTAATTATTATTGACTGCATCAGAATGTTCACACATGTCATAGGTACAGTGCCCTTTATCTGCTCTCAGTTCTCCAACAGTTGTTCTTGCGGTCAGAGCCTCAGCTTCCACATTACCTTAGATCTGAGCTTGCCAGTTTGTGTCGTGATATTTTAATGCAATTTGCAGTGTGAAGTATGAACAAACAAAGCGTTAAACAGAATAATCTGCTTAAACAAAGTAAATGTTCAAACTGTAACCTCTGGTTTGCTGTAGACTGAATTACTGTGCCACAAAATTATTGTTGGTTTAATAGCATGTCACCAACATGAAAAGTTTGGAGACCTCTGCCTTAGATCTTGCTTTGCTGCATCAAACGTTCAAGATAGAAATACTATCAGTTAAGTGAATCAAAGAAAGGAATCCTACTGACAGAAGGACAGAGAAAGCTATAGGAAACAAAAAAGAGGAGGGAGGAAGAAAAAGAGAGGAGGGAGAAAGAACTTCAGATCTCAAACAAATTGCTTACATTTTATTTCAACAATTTTTATACTGTACACTACTCGCTCCATTCGCTTTTATATATCTCATTTTCATTTTTCTTCACACTTCTAACAAAACACAAAGTTAGTTTTAACTTAGTCTGTTTTTTTTTCTTTTCAGAAACAATTTTTTTTTATATATTTTCAGACAAAGCATTAAAATAGATAAGAAACAACACAGGCCAGCTCACAAAGACATTTTAAAATGTCAAGCTTTGCTGTGTAGAATAGTTTAAAAAAAAAAAAATCACTAACATACCATAGTTCACTGTTAATCTAAAAAGACTAGTTATGGGCAATTACATTAGTGATCTTATTGCCTTTTCACAAGTTCTAAAATGATCCATTTTAGAAAGGAAAACTTATGGGGGGGGGGGGGGGGGGGGGGATAAAGAACAGTCAAAAGAATTCACAAAACAAGAATGATTATAAAAAAGTTGAGTGCCAAATCTCCAACATTATCTCTCTCCCGGTTCTGTTTACTCTAAAACATTAGCTGCTACTGGTTCATCTCTGGATGTCTTCTAATAACCGGGGGCAAGTCAGTGCAGCCAAGTTTAAAACAGTTGACATATGTAAGTCACTTGTTCAGTCCACATGGAGTAAGTGGTATTACATACTCCACACTATAAACAATGTGTCAATCAGGTGCCTTCTCCTCACTGAAAGTTGGCTGCAATAAATCTTCAACATACTCTTGTCTTTTGTCCTGGTTGTACAGAATGCTGGTCGTCCATCTCTTGATCTTGTCCTCTCACATGTAATGTTGTCTACCTCTCGTTCTCTTGCCTTGGACCTTCTCCTTCAGTATGGTTTTTAAAAGTATATTTAGTTTTTTAACAGGGTCAATTTCAAATATCTCATTTTAATTTCTTCAAAAATTATCTTTTCATTCAGACTTTCCAGAACCTGTGTATTAGATTTGTTTTAATTTCCATTAAATATGACCTATACTTCTGTATATTTCAAAATACAAAATAATAGTTACATTACAAACTTTTTTTTTGTGTAAAAGAAAATATCTGCAGAGTAAGGGATACTAGGGCACTATACAAGGTAAGAAATGTTATGGCACAATTTGCACTTTATACCCTAATGGCATTGATTAAAAAAAAAAAAAGCATGAAATACATGGTAGGGCATAACTCTTAGTAATACCTCCTCACTGATTAGAAATATGAGAATTGTTAAAACAGCTAACAATTTGTTACCCCTGTGTGGGGTCCCGGGCCCTATACCAGGGGGTAAAAAAAAGAATAGATCCACTGCCTACCCAAAAGCATGTCTTAAGAGTCGACTAATTGGGAGCTTCCTTCATAGTCAGAGTGCATCTGCCTGAGAGGCAAGGAACCAGCAGTCTGCATAAAAATGAGCCAGATCTGTAAAATGGATGCACACACAACACTCAGGTTCTGAAACAGGACTGCAGTCCAGAAGTGGACGAACAACCAGAAATTTCTGCCAGAGTTTACAGTTGGTAAATGTGAAAAAGAAAAATAATATGTTACCTTTAATAACTGGTGCATGTGCACAATATAGGGAATAACAAGTTGAGCTAAGGGAGAAAACTGAACAAATTCCAGTAATTGATCAGATGAAAAGACACTATTAATGGATGGGGTACACTTTGTGAAAACTTGATGACAGTTCAAATAAAAGTCCTCTTACTCAGGGGGAAGAAGAGATAAAAGTATCTCAAAAACAAATGGAGAAGAGAGGCAGATGAATATGTCAAGAGGACATAGACAAAGCTGTAGGATATGACAGGATTAAACAGCATTGCTTTAGTTTTTTTAGAACTAATTCTCCAATGGATGATAAATGGAAATACATTTTTTTTTTTGCTTTAATACCGTTATAATATACTTCTTCTTAATGAAGACCTGCCATCACATACTTTTGGTACGACTATGTTTATCTATAATTGAAATAAACATCCAACATTTTTTTTTAATTTCATTGGAATTTGACATCATGTATCAGTAAACAACAATTAATTAAACTAATTTAAATAATAACTACAGTCAATTGCATGACTAGAGAGTAACCAACCTTTTTAAGACAGGATAAGTATACTACCTATATAACAGATTTTACAGCTGGGTTTCTAGACTGAACAAAACTATAATAAATGTACTGTACAATTAGTATCATTAGATCAAATGTGGGATATATTTCCAGTACCTGTAAAACAAGAGTTTCATAACTGCAGCTTAGATCTTATTTAGAATAAACTGACAGTATCTACATTAAAACATCTATTACACAAATGCAGTAACTAGATCAAATGTAGGATAATTTACAATATCTACATAACAAAAAAATTTTACTGCACTAACTAGGGAAAAAAAATGTATAATAAATTTACAGGATTTACAGAGTAATTAGATTTAGTTGTGGCATAAATTTACAGGATCTATATAACAGTTTCTTTATTTGGTAACTAGATTCAGTTGTGGGATAAAGTTACAGTTTCTACATAACAGTTCATACATCAAGTAACTAGATTCAGTTGTGGAATAAATTGAGTTTCTACACTACAGTTCATATATCAAGTAACTAGATTCAGTTTTGGGATAAATTTACAAGTTTACATAACAGTTCATTTATTAGGTAACTAGATTCAGTTGGAATAAATTTACAGGATCTAGACAGAAGATGATACAACTGGAGTAACTAAACCAGGCAGACAAATATACAGAACTAATACTGTCTATGATACAGTTGGAGTAACTAAACAAAAACCTACACAAAAGTAAGATAAATATACACTACCACTATAACAGATCACACACATGATAGAACTAGACAAAACGAATGTAAGAGCTAAGAACATCCTTTGGTGCCCATTTCAATTTTAAATCATATTTCACTAACATATGAGAACTAGGAAAAGTATGAGATTGTTATTACCCAGAACAGTGCTTTATATAATTCAACAACAGAAGCATGCGCAATTAGCCAACCAACAACTGTCAATATGAAGAGGAAATTAGAAGTCAACAACAAACATGTAAAGTTTTTTCACAATTAATTAACAGTCTGCAAATAAAGCAGCAACAATAACAAGCAATTTAAATATAAATACTTGAACTACCAATATAAATAAACATAACTCAAATTATGAACAAATGTAAATCAAAACGCAACCTTCCTGTATAGAAGGCTATTTCTCATAATACATTATTCACATCTATTTGTGCCAAAAATGCATCTATTCAGTGTAATTAACTCATAGCATAAAGAGTAAGTAATAAGAAGAAAGTGTTGGGAGAAAGTTTAAATTATATGAAGATGCACGTAAATTTACTTGATTATGCATATGTGTGGATAGATATAACTTTGTTTAATTGCATTTTATGTAAGTAAATATTCTAATAGCTACTTGGTATTACTAAATGATGAATAGTTTTTTTTTTTTACTGCTTAATGATGTTTGTATTTTTATAGACATACTCTTTGAATTAGTCAGTAATAATACATGTTAAGATGTTTTCTTTGAATAGCTCAATAATGAAACATGTGGACTGATGCATTTTTTTAACTGTTTGGTGATGTGCATATTTTGATAGATATATTCTTTGAATTACTGAATAATTAACATATGTAGATATGTGAATTCTTTGAATAACTCAATGGAGATCAGATGTGGATGTTTTTTCTTTGAACTGCTGTGTAATTTACAGATGGTGGGTGAATTAACCTGTTGAAGGAAACAGTAACAAAGAATAAATGAAACATTACATGGAAAATATTTCCCAAGTAGTATTTGCTTTCTAGCTAGAAACCTATAAAGGCATAATGTGTTCCTTAGGACTCAAAGAGTTGAGTTTAACATAGGCATAATGTGTTCCTTAGGACTCAAAGAGTTGAGTTTAACATAGGCATAATGTGTTCCTGAGGACTCAAAGAGTTGAGTTTAACATAGGCATAATGTGTTCCTTAGGACTCAAAGCGTTGAGTTTAACATAGGCATAATGTGTTCCTTAGGACTCAAAGAGTTGAGTTTAACATAGGCATAATGTGTTCCTTAGGACTCAAAGAGTTGAGTTTAACATTACACATTCAATTGAATTTTAAAATATACAGCTAATATAAATACTATATCAAGAAATAAATCATGATCTCTAAACTACATCTGCTTGAAAAATATTACCAAATTATAAACAGATAATAAAATTACATATTTCATTTATTATAATATGTTTAACAATTTAATGTTTAAAAAAAAGAACAGCATTCAAGCCTTTGCTGTGTAATAAAACACAATCTGTTTCAAATAACACAGTACATGATATCAAATATAGCTAAACCAGTGAAGTACAAAGTGGAAAATACACTTCACAAATGTGAACTGCTTATTTAAAATATCAAATGTCAATGAAGATAAGAATGCTTATAAGTGAACACTATCAAATATGTAGATTACAAAAAAAGCCTGTCTGAAGTAAGTGGCTGTATGAGTACTCCGATGTCTTGATAACAACAGATCTGTGGAGCTCAAGCTAAGAGAGAGTTTTCCGGAATGAAGAATATTCTGAAACATCTGTTTCAAATAAGGTGAGAGAGAGAGTTCTAAAGCACACAGCACCATCCACATGGATATAAGTGAATCAGACAGAAAATGATGAAAACACCATGGAAAAGTGGAAACAATAATGCAGTGTTGTGTTAAATGAAATTAGGTGCAAATAGGAGTCAACATCCCCATCAAAACATAACAAGCCATCCTTTGAGAATGTCATGAAGGAAAAAAAAACTGGAACATTTTTGGTAAATGAGAATATTTAAGGAGAGAAAAAGTGACCAAGAGTGAAGACAGACAGTATGGTATGGAAGAAAATCAGTTCTGGAAATGACTAACAAAAAGACAGAAGGCTATTGACAGACACGATTAAATTTCCATGGCAGGGATCATAGATTTGTTAAATATGGAGAGATAATTGTATAAAACAAAATACAAATACTGGCTGTTAAAAACTAATATAAAAATTATTATTTGCAGTACACAAACAAACAAAAAATTGTCTTTGCATTAAAACAGTAAATAAATATTGGCAGGAATAATAATAATTAAATTCACACACAAAAATATGCAAAATTGTTCTGACCAATGAGGAGTTGTCTATTGAGAAATTTGAGTAAGCTACACTGATGTCATAAAATTATGCACTTAAACTAATGTCATAAAAATATGCACTTAAACTGATGTCAGAAAAATGTACAATTACTGTCATGTCATAAAAATATACAATTACTGTCATGTCATAAAAAAAATACAATTACTGCCATGTCATAAAAAATATACAATTACTGTGATGTCAAAAATATACCCTAAGTAACTTGCAGAACAATGAATAAAGAAAAATGTTTACAGCCAAACTGACAATAGCATTCACTGAATTTGTAATGAGTGCCTTTACATCCTGCAGTGTGTCAATACCCACCTACTCTAGACACTACAAGCATCATGTCTTATGGAAATGTTAAAAAATCACATCTGTGAAATTTAAAAGACAAATGGGTGCCATTAAGAGAAACCACATTACTATTTGCCTGATTTATTCTCATTATCTTTGTCTTTTCTTTATGGATTTTAAGACCAAGCTGCTGTGATCTCGCATAAAGTATATTTATCTTGCATTTGATTCTGTGAATGGGACAGAAAAGAAATATCATCAGCGAAGTCCAGATTATCAAACTGTTTTGTAGGGGTCCAATGAATTCCATTCTTGGTGTTAACAGTTACTGTTTTCATAATCCAGTCTATAGCCAGTAAAAATAAGAGAGGCGACAAAAGACATCCCTGTTACACATCTGTTTTTATTTCAAATGTATCTGTAAGCTTTCCCTCATGAAGAACTCAACATTTCATGTCTTTATATGTTGCCTTTACAAAGTTGATAATTTTCTGTGGGATTCCTTAGTGCCCCATCAATTTTCAGAAAATTGGACTGGCTAATTCTTAGCCCTATTTCTAAATCCAGAACTGGACTAGGTAATTCTAAAATCTATTTCTAAATCCAGAACTGGACTAGCTAATTCTTAAATCTATTTCTAAATCCAGAACTTGACTAGCTAATTCTTAAATCTATTTCTAAATCCAGAACTGGACTAGCTAATTCTTAAACCTATTTCTAAATCCAGAACTGGACTAGCTAATTCCTAACCCTTTTTAAAAATCCAGAACCTGACTGACTCATTCTTAACCCTATTTCTAAATCCAGAACCTGACTGGCTAATTCTTAGTACTATTTCTAAATCCAGATCAATAGCAATTCTTAGCCCCGTTTCTAAATCCAGAACTGGACTAGCTGGTGTATGAATAAACTGTCCACATAGTGTGTTACCATTAAGGTTAGTTGCGTATCCTTTACAGGACGTTGCAGAACCAACACTAACAGCCCCTGGCTGCTGTGTGGTTTCTCTAGGCAAATTTACGTCCAGTAGTTTGCCATTATTTTCTGAAAGGTCGGCTTTCTTGATACCACTGTCGAAACCAACACAAGGCGCATGGCCTGCAGCTGGGATCAAACCCGGCATTACGGTTTTACCATTACTGTGTTTAAAAATATACTAGCCACAATACTAGAGATCTGATGGTTTCACTAAAGAGCTTGAGTAAATAGGATGTCTATAGATTTTCAAATATTTTAGCATGCTTTTTCCGGGGGAAAACAAAAACTCTGAAATCGACACCTCCAAATGACTTAAATATACTGTTTTGGTGTGTGTGTGTGTGTGTGTGAGTATATATGATACTTTACTCCCCCTAACATATCATTTTAATTACATGTGGTCTGACTTTTAATTTTTTTAATACAGGTAACAGTACAAAATAATTATCTACTAAATCGGTTAAAAATACTTTAAAACAGAGGCTTAAATGTTTTTATAGGAAAGTCATGGGTTCGCTCCCTGCCGGAGACGGACTTTTTAAAAAAATGTCCTCGACTCCCAGGTCGACCCAGCCTTGAGTTGTTACCAGGTGCAGTCCTGGGACAGTAAAGGCGGCCGGCGTGTTGCTGACCACATCACCTATCTTGTGTCGATTGGCCTATACAAATATAGGTCTAGCCCTATATGCCTAAAGGCATGGAAAAAAGAACCTTCACTACTGTACTTTTACTTAAATGGTTTTAAAAAACTTCACAAAACTAAACAACATTGGTCACACAAAAAAAGCATAGGTTTTCAATGTTAGGCACATAGAATTAAAAATTGTAACATTAAACCTGAAGACAAAATGAAAATACAGGAAAACAATATTTCTAAAACCCCCCTCCCTAAAATTTTTTTACAACTTACAACAGAAAAACATAAATGTGTTTAGTATCATTCATAATGGATTACAATATATAAATTAATGAAGTGTACGTGATGTTGTAAGCAGGCTTCACAAACAAGTCAAACGTTTAGAATGAGGCCATTCCACCAGTGAGATGTATTATTTTACTCTGGACGAGTTGGCAGCCAGATAAAGATATCAGCATAAGGTTCATCCTGTCGCACACAAAAGCTGCCTTGGCCAGCATGACCTGGGTTTTCACCATAAATATGTTATTTTAACATATGAGAGAGAGAGAGAGACAGAGAGAGAGAGAGAGAGAGAGAGAGAGAGAGAGAGAGGAGTGAAAAAGGAGAGAGAGGGCTAGGCAGAGAGCAAGGGCAAAGGAGAAAACAAAACAAAAAACAGAGAGGGGGGGGGGGGGGAGAAAGAGAGCATGACAGCACTGTTGTAACACATGTGGCAAGACTGCCTTTCCTCCTATAAACACTAAAGGGTCAATTTGACCACTTACATTCTAAAAAATGTTTTATTATCCATACCAAATTTACTCAAAGCCCCTTCATATGTCACATTTTTCCATACCCCCAAAACCAGAAGTCGAATGTATGGGGAGTATAAAATTGTGCTAAAGCTGAATTTTCCATGACTAATATGATTCCTAGTCTTATAATTTGGAAACTGCCCCGCTCTCTAGCGTAGTTGGCTAAACCGGATTGCGCGGTGACCGGGTGACGGACTCCTTGTGGTCCGGGTTCACTCCCAGGGGTAGGCAGAAAAGCCACATTTCTCCCTGATTTACGGTATTTACAATGGAATCAAGGCCGAAAGGTTGCGATATCCATAATAACGAGCCTAAGGGTTAACAACTCATGGCTTCTGGATACTAAAACAACAAACAAACAATTTGGGAACTAGAGATCTGGAAAGTTAGGGCAGCTGATGTAATACAGACCATTTAATAACTTACGTCCTGTCCAGACATTACTTTAAACAGACCTATCACCAGATATTTTAACAAATATTTGATGTGGAAAGCTCCTATGTGCAAAAAGAAATCAGTGCTAGCCACTCAAAGATACCAGCTGCATGCCCAGTTTCAGCTTGGTGTTGGTATAAATGCTCATGTCAAGAAAGAACAGTATTCACAAAAACAGCCACTGCTTTTATACTAAATCTTTCACAGCCCTAAATTATATATATATATAAATAAAAATGTAAAGTTCAGTTGGTTGTGATAGCTAATCTCTGAAAGTTTTTCAGATTACTTTAAAAGTTTCAAATATGGAAAACTTAATACTGTCAAAAGATTAAAATGTCTTTCTCATATGAGTCATGCATGAGCAACAGTTGTAGCAGCTAGTGTGCTCATCTGGTCCTGTATTGAAACCCACGGAGACAGATTTTTAAAACTGATTTAGCTCGCAGGATAGCCGGGTTTAAAGTTGGTGTCAGGAAAAGTTCTGGAAAGTAAAGGCAGCTGAAACTGACAACATCATACACTGAATACTCACTGGTCTATGTAACGATGGGATTTTCCAAAAGGTTTCCCAATGATGAGGTAGGGTCATAGGCCAGGGTAACAAGGGACACAGGAAAGTTAGAGGCCTGGGTTTGAATATGAGAAAAGAGATAGTCAGTTGGTGTTTGACAGCTGGAGTGAATCGTCCAGTTCTGCGAGAAAAATGACTGCTATAAAGTATAACTGATGACAGCATAAAGAAGTCTTGATTCATGTGGATGACTGAGTAGAAGCTATCTTGATTACTATCAAGAACGACTGAGAAGATTTGTGTAGCTGTGTTGGAAATGCAAGTCCTTCACATAAATGAAACACCCGGAATGCAAGGTAATGACAGTTTGAACACAGTGTGTGTGTGTGTAATATAATCATTGACAATTGATCCTAGTAAGACAAGTAAGAACAGAAGACAGCGACTAGACGATAGTATTATCGGAATTACAAAAAAGAAAAGAAACTGCTAATATATGTGTGTCTTTTACCCCCTGAATGAGTAGACATCCCTAACTTCCAGATGTCTTACTAGAACACAAAGAAAGCAACATCGCAGTCTACAAAATTATAGGATTCACACAACGTCTCAAGGTGTGGAAGCAGGTTATTTTCTTTTGTTTAAATCAGACATGCATAAAAACAACAAGCATTATAGTCACTCAGTGGCAGCAATTAGCTGAGTTCAGAGATGGGTATACAGTCACAACCAGGGATGTTTGTTCCTAGTGATACGCCATTCTGTCACCTTTTCCTATACTTTCTTTTTTCAGTCCTAATGTAAAAATACTTTAGGTTGAATACTGCCAGCACTTTCTTATTTAGAGATTCTTTCCTAAGGGAGAAAAAAGCCCTGGTTGCATTTCTGTGTGACTCTTAGAGCCTAGTATTTTTTTTTTTTTTTTGTGTGTGCTGATGAAGGCTCAATAGCTGCAACGTTCACACGTTTTGTTTGTATTAGTTATATTGTGAAGCTTGCTAATATACTTTTCGTTCGGGTTTATATCTTTTCTTGATATTCTTAGAGCCAAGGCAATGCAAACATAACCCTGTTTAATTGCCTTTCACTAACTGGCAGGGTGCAGTGTTACTTCATTTTGCCTTCCCTAAATTTCCCTGGAAAACAAGGGTAAACAGAAAACCAGCACATGGAAAACTTACAACAGACTGCCATAAACATTCGGGCAGCTTGTTCTTTGTTGAAAGACGCAGGTGGACAAATTGTCCTGAACGTCGTCCAGTCATCAGTTGTCCGCAAGCTTGAAGTCACTAGCCTGTGGTCAAATAATGATTAATATTTATATATAAGACAATTCAGTCATGCACAGAAAATACCTATTCAAATAATTTAATAAAGGAATTAAACAGTACAAATGCAGTAATTATTTTATTACGTAAGATACCTTAGATAAATATATTTATGCATCTAACTTTCTTTTTTACCTCAGAAATAAAACATCAATACTAATGCTTGTTAGAGGGTTTCATTAGGCCTAGTTATTGTCCTTATAACATTCCCTCCCAGATACAGTACCCTTTTGTTAGCAACAGATTTATCCATTGTACACAGACAACAAGGTTGCTTTGTTGGAAGTTGACTGAATCAATGGTGTTCAACATCTGTTCAAAGGAAACTATGTAACAGGTTTGAAGGTAAAAGGCATTGACTTACATGGGAAGATCCTTCTGTGGGTTAAGAGGCCAGATTTTATAGGGACAAGAATAGACCCTTCCCCTTAAACAAGCATATTGTAAAAGGCAACTAAATAGGAGTTCGCTGAAATCAGGTATGTATGGGTGAAAGGCAGCCTAGCTGTAAACTACAACACAATGTGCCAACCACTCTTTTAAGGAGGAATGCAGAAGAAGACACTGAAGGAAAGAAAATGACAAATTTATTTTGCAAATAACACAGTGAGGGAAAACACCACGACGTGTATTGCATCAAAGTGCCAGGCAATAGACAGCCAAAACATTCTTCTCTTGACCACTCTAGTAGAATGAGGTGATGGAGAAGATAAGGCTGGATAAATTTTAAGGACCATGAGAGTGGTGGATAATATGAAATAAGATGCTCAAGGATAATGAGTGATGTAGACAGAAATGGTTAAGAAAAACAAATGTCTAAAATACGATGTACTGTCTCTTAGCTTCAAAAGCCTGGCAAGGGAATTTAAGAGAGAAATATTGCAGTTTTCTTAAGGAGTTCGGCAAAGTTAAACTATCCACAAGTTTCGGAACCTTCATCGCCAAGAAGATGAACTATCCACGAAATAAGTCAAGTGAAGGAATCTTTTTATGCCAGTGATGCATTGGGTTAGCTATGTAATGAACAGGAACCAGTTAGGCCACAGAAACAATACAAATAATTAAACAAATGGACATGTATTGATTAGCACTCATAGAAAGAGGTTCTATTACCTTTCTACTTCTTTCCACGAGTGCTAATCAATACAAATCTATTTGTTTGTTATATACACCAGGTTAGCTAAAGTAATATCGTTACAGACCAGTTGGTACTTGATAAGTGATGTGGTCAACATCACACCAGCTGCCTTTACTTCCCAGGATAATATCTGTTACCAACTGTAGACTGGGTTTACCTGGGAATGAGGCAGAATATTTGAAAAACAAAATCCAGATTCATTCTAAGACCTTGAGGCTGGCAAGTGATTATCTGGCCATTATGGCTTCCATTAAATAGGCAGGCCGTGATGAATATAGGATAAAATAAAGAGACTAACAAAATCAGTACATTAGGGAGGGGTCTGAGTGGTCTTGAGGCATGGTGTCCGCCTTGAGTGCTGGAGGTCTTGGGTATAATGCTCTGCTGAAGGCTGGTATTTTTTCAAATGGACTTCTAGTACTTTCTCCTGTTCTCTGGGTATTAAGATAGGACACCTGTGTGTATTGTTGCGCAGGTCAAAAATCATTTGGCAGTTGGAAATTGAACAAATTAGCCTAAGGGCGCTGCCCGGGCAAAATTTAGTTACAAATCTACCCAAAATAGTTCAGGATCCTCGCCACTGCTGCGGAGTTCATGCACTGCACTGAGATTCTTGGGACTCAGGTTTGAGTTAGAAGTTGAATGGAGTACTACAGTTTACTACCCATGTGCCATGATGTTGATCCATTGTTCAAATCAAACCAGTATATCAAACAATCAGACAGAAAGGTGTTACTGCTGATCCAATGCAGTTAACTGTCTTTTCTGTGATGGTAACTGATTGAATTAAAACCATTCTTTCTTTCCCTTTTAGATCACTTACTTTAGAACCTGAGTTCTTGGAGTGTCTCCTCCGGCAGCCTGTCTTTCAGTATCTTCTACACCACCAGCAGGCACAGGTTCTCCTCCTAAAAAAGTTTATTAAGTATATTTAAACTGAAAAAACAATACAGAACCAACTAAATTTGACATTTGTTTTATTCACCCCAGTGCCTCAACCCTTTTAGACCAGAAGGATTTATAATGTTTATATATATATATTTATATATATACACACACATAATACAGTTTTAAGTAAAAGACTTTTTCTACGCCTTCCAGTGTTTGAGGCATATAGGGCTAGAGCTAAATTTTATAGAATCGTGGTCAGCATCAAGCTAGATTATTTATATATACTTATAAAATTAAAGAGACCTTTTTATGCTACTAGAAAATATGACACATGGTGCTTCATTGTCTAAACTTAAAATTACTTACCACTTAATATTTAACATCAAACAACCTGATTACAGTAGAACAAATAGGTGTTTTAGAATCTCATGGGACATATGTTGAGATCTGCATTCTACAATGAAAACACAGGAGCACATCATTATCATTAAGTGTCCTGCCGACCGGTATGAGCGATCATGCCACTCCACAATCTCCAACTGTGTGTAATCTGTGTGCTGACACCCCTCGTGAGGTAGGAGCCTGTCCTACCATTAGGTGTGTCCACTTGGGTGGCAGATGGTGGAGCGGCCTTTAGATATAGAGGTTAGCTGCAAATATATTTTAGCGGCCATGGGCCAAAACAGGTGGTGGTTTCTGAGAGAAGGCGAGCTAGCTGGTGGGATAGCTAGATCCATAAAATACCTCAAAACTCCATGACATGGCCATCGGCTGCTAGGAGGAACCGTTATAACAAACCCCCCCCCCCCCTTTCCCCCCACGGTATGTCTCTTTAGAGAAAGGCTACTGGAGTTAAACCATAAACAAACTAGCGGGAGGCAAGATGGAAACCATGGCTGTATTTTCCTAGCAAATCATGCCTTTAAACCAATTGTATTCAGACAACGACATTAATGGGGATTCTAATGGAATCACCTCATCTGGTAGGGAGCAGCATGTTCTACAGGTGATACCTCACTGTCATCCATCTACTGTAGTGAATGTCAGTAACATCTTAAACACTGATATACAGAATGTCAGAACACTTGTACAAATCGGAAAGTTGGACAATCAAAATATTAGTAATTAGTTAAATGTGTTGGCCAGGTGCTTGGGAAAAGTATTCAGATGAACACAAAATCATTTACTCAGGTGGGAGTTAATATAAAACTGGTGTTGGCATCATTGTGGACCAACAATGTGCAACAACAGGAACACATACCTAGATCTAATTCTGGCTGAAGAGGAATTGGACTGATCATAGGCTCTTGTTCTTCTGGCCAAGGGGGCAGGACTGCCATGTCTCCTGTCTGTTCCAGCTCAGCAAGGGATGGGTGCTCACGGCCACTTGTTTCACTCTCAGATGATGACACTCTTTTTCTAGCATGGATTCATATTTTTTTAAAATTTTTATTATGTGACTAAAGAAGTAGTGATTAAGACTGTTAACTGTACAACATTTGGGATTTTAGTGCACATGGGATGATTTGTTCAGTTTTCATATATACTATGTGTTCAGGCAATAGTAATTTTGTTCTGGACATAGATACTTTACTGTTGAAACACTGGATATATTCTTTTCTGGTCACAGAAACTTAAGTGTTGAAACACTGGATGTGTTTTATGTTTTTAAATTGGATCTTTGTCTTATTTCTTCTCTCTTATAAAAGTATTTAGATTTATTTCAGGGCCCTACATTTTGACAACTCTTGCACTCGCCCTTTAAAAGACTCATTTACTTTTTAAATGTAGGACTGTTTCTCTGTGTGTGCTGGCAAAGACTTTCTATGGGCAATATCTTTAGTCACTTATGATTGTGTTTTTATAATACTAACTTGTTCTAGTTGCCATTATGTCGGTAGACACACTGTTATATAAACGGTATTAAAGTGATAAGGGATATTCACAATATGGGGACTGGGTTGAAATTATTTGTAAGCATTATATTTTAGTCTGTAGGATCTCAATATACTGTTACAATTCATTTCCACAGATAAAAGATCACTTCATTATGAGGTATAATTATATTATTTGTGTCACAATGATGCTTCTCACTGGTATTAAACAAGTTTCATGTCATTTCATGCAGCATTTGCCTCCACAAACATCTTCTAATCTCCATGTAGGGTCAAGCATGGATCATCTTCTCAGCCACTACCAGACCATCCATAATTTCTCCTTTTCTCCAACGCCTCTGGAACTTTCAGGCTGCCAAACTTTCTCCAGACCCTCTTCCATGTGGCCAAAACTCAACAACAGCTTGCCTTGGTTAGGACCATTACTCGTCTGTATGTATGAATTTGCCTCATGTAGCATATTCTTACCTCTCTATGGTATTCTTAGCATTCTACAAATCAGTTTTAAAACTGTTCTGCTTTAATAATAGTTAAGACAGTGTTCTTCAACCGTTTTATAGCTGCAGACCAGCAAAAATGGGGCAGCCGTTACACTGACCACCTGACAATTAATTTTTAAAAAAAACTGTAGATAGAGGTTTATGTCTTGAATCCGATGTCACAAGCTTATAATTTAAAGCTAAGGTCACGCCTGTTGCTACAATTTAGTGCTGGAATCATGCAGCCGCCAGATGATAAGACAGAAGCTTTTTGGCACCACCATATTTCTGCAAACCATAGTTTGATGATCTCTGGTTTAGAACACACAAATTACCTTGCCTGAGACTCATCACTAGCTGCTGCAATTAAGGAGCGACTCTGATCTCCTTCAAATGAGGCAGATACTGCAGAAATGTCACGTCCTCGTTCCACAGACAGAGGCAGTGACTATTGAGATAAAAATGTAATTTAAAAACCGTTACTAAAACATATTTTACAACTTGTTATTTTAAAGAAGTGTTATGTAAAGTGCACACAACTAGTGCAGCAAAAATATAAAATAATTGATCATAAGGATTATTGAACACAAAAGATTAAATAATTATGTTTACAAAATTCATCTGCAATTTTATGTTACAAAAAAAAAGTGTGCAGCGTCCTTCATAGCAAAATACACATAATTACACAGTATATGTATATAAACGAACTGAATCAAATGAATACACACAATGGCTTATATTTTTTTACAATTTAATTTGAGTAGTATAAATTGTTAGCGTAAAAACTGAATGCAATGTTTTGAGCAGATATACATACATACATGCACGCTCGCACCTACACTCAAGTGCACGCATACACACACACACAAAAGTAAAAATAAAAACTAATTATAAGTTGGAATAATAACCCGTTCAAAGTCGAGGAAACAATAATGTGAACTCTGCAGATAGATGTTTAGTTTATCATATTCATGTACTTAGTTTACACAAAACCAGATTAAATTATTTGTAAAACATACATACATGTATTTTTACATATAACATAAGAATTAATGTTGTCTTTTTTCAAGAAGCGCTGTTTGTAATTACATTTTATATTTAAATTTTTTTAATAATCTGAAATAATTATTTTGTATGTACTCTTGATTAGGGACACTCAGGGCTTATTAATTTTGCATGCATTTTACAAACCTGATTTGACTCGTGCTGTGGAATGAAATTCTACAAACAGTATTGTATCCTCTAAAACAAGTTGGGTGTCAAAAGTACATAGTAACTCTAAAATATCACTGATGACCATTTTTATTTAAAATAAATTCAGTTTTAAAAGTGAGACAGAAGTAGATCGAGAAATGAAAGCATGTAAAGATCAGATTTAGTCCAATTCCTAACTGGTCGTGTTGTTAAACTCAGCAAATACTGTAGCTCCATTGTTAACAGACAGATTACAATTACATTTACACTAAAATATATTGGATGAAAAAAGGATATGCTGAATTAAAATTTTCAACAAAAGGAGGTCACATGCCTTAGAACATTAGGATTTGGCTATAGGTTGATAATTTCATACTATTTTACACACATTTCCCCTGATTATGTCATCTTTTAATATATGTCAGAAGTACCAAACCATAAGGATATTTCAATATTCTCCATATAGTGAAGTATTTTTGAGAGAAATTAAAGAGAAAGCAGGAATAAAACGATACAATTTAAACAAGTTTTCATAATGCAGACGATACAGTTTTGCTGACTGAAAACGCAACTGATTTACAACAACTGATGGATATTGCCGATATGAAAAGTGCTAAGAAAGGACTTCCCTTGAATATTAGGAAAACGGAAGTAATGGCCACATTGTGATATTAAAATTAAAGGAAAAAGACTTGACCAGGTCAATAAATTCAAATATCTGGGAACAATCATATCATCAGATGGAAAATGTGTGACAGAGATTAAAAGCAAAATACACCAAGCGAAGGCAACATTTAAAAATAAATGAAAATATGCAATAAGTCGCTCTCATTTAATGTCAGAAAGAGAGTACTCAATGTTACATAGAACCTATTCTGTTGCAATGAATCTTGGAATGTCAGTGAACAAATTAAGAAGAATTTGGAAGCAACATAGATGTCATTTATGAGACGAATAGCTTGGATGGCCAGAGTAACTAACTAAATCACTATATATATAACAATAAGAAGGAGACAACCACTGTTATTTAGCCACGTAATGAGAAGAAAGGTACTGGAAAACATTGTGGCAACTGGAAATATCAGTGGAAAGAGGGGTAGAAGTAGACCAAGAGAGATGATGGCATGGAGGGATATCATCAAGAGAGCTGTTCCAGGCAACCAGGGACCGTGATCTGTGGAGATGCATGAGCGCCTATGCCAGTTGGCAGGGCACATGATGATGAAACCACAAATTCATTTTCTGTAAAATAAAACAAGATTCATAAATAGAGCAGAACCTCAATTATCCTCATAGAATCAGAAGGCATTCTAAGATGACAGGAAGAACCTCATTCCTCATTGGGAAGGGTTCAAGTCGACTGAGACAGTGCTCCAGCACATTAGTAAGCAGGAGAAAACCACACCAGCTGAAACAATTTTCTTGCATGAGTGGAGAGAGACTACGTTAAGGAAAAGGACAAAATGCCTGAAGCTACGATTTATCAAAGACTTTATAAAAACTAATTTTTTACTCTTTGATCTTAGGCCGACCTTTTTCCATTTGTTTAATTACTTATCAATCAACAGTGTGCATTCGCACGTATGCACGCACACAAAAGTTAAATGATTTTTGTAAGTTAGCCTATGAATTTGCGTTAATGTTTTGGTTATTTTAAATGTGTGTGTATTCATACTTGACAGTGTACATGATTTTCCTTTTCCTGCAGTAAATTTAGACATTATAAAGTTGCATCTTAAAATGTGAACATTTTTATTTTCGGATTTATTTTTCCCCCCAATAATGTTTGAATATACAGGGCAATTTACAAGAACTAAAATACATAAATACAAAAGCAACTGGATGAAATAAATGAAAATGTAATCCCTTTTACCTTGCTCAGAAGAGTCCAGTGCCTACTAGAATGGTGCTGAGAAGGGAGAAAATGCATATTTGTGGAAGGAGTGTCCCCTTCCAGTAAATCTTCAGGAATCAGAAATTCTTATGTTTTTTTCTCTTTCTTTTTTCTGTCTCCTTTCCCATTTGGACCTGGTTGAGGCTCACCAGATCTGACTTTTACTAAAAGTATGTCCACAGGACTTTGCTACTGCCCTCTCCTCAGGCTGTTTCACAAATGTGACATTATGTAGTAATTCCAGACAATCATATTACATCTTGTTTGGGTTTTCTTGGGGGGGGGGGGGGGGGGGGGGGGGGGGGGGGGGGGGGGGGGGGGGGGGGGGGGGGGGGGGGGGTTCTTTTCTGCAATTTTTTGGGCATCCACTTCTTTAATTAATGAAAGATTAATTATGTCATGTCTCATTTTGACTCACAAAAATTATACCATGTTCCAAACAAAGGTCATATGCCAAACACAATTTTTTCCATCTAAACAGGACATATACCAAAGCGAAAAAATACCCAGGTACCACTGTAGAGATACATTTTTCCCCAATACATCGCATTGAAAATTAAAATATATTATCTGTTTTCAGCACATTTATTGTGTGGACAAAAACACAGAGAGCACACAATCTTACCACTGTTGGTATTTGTTCTACTGGCGTTCCCACATCCCTTGCAGCAGCTGTTAATGGCAATGAAGTAATACATATTGTCAGTCAATGAAGGAATCATTACATAAAAACTAAATTACTTGAAAACATTCATCAGTCAATTCAATTTTCCCACTTAAAAGTAGCTTGCAATTGTAAAGAAGTAACAGCCATAGTGACACTTAAATATACAATGGCAATAGAGAAACCGGAGAGCATGACAACTATGAAGACTCAGTATTTGAGACAAAATAACTAGACAGAATAACTGTAGATACTGGATGGGCCTGAAGAGTTTGTACAAAGGCAAACATAGCTTGAACACAGAGAGCAGGTGCTGTGGAAGTACAAGACAGTATGTGCTATCTAAAATGATATAAAATCAATGCTTGTTGTTCTTCTTGGAGTTCACCGGCTGTAAAGTGGGACAGAAAGTTCTCATTTTCCCCAGGACACTGCTTTAATTGAGAAATTATCCCAAGGAAACTGGGTCACATTCATGCTATCTGTCCACTGATGGACACTTGTCAGGTGATCCTGAGCAGCTAAGCAGATGTCAAAGCAACGTAGGAAGTAGAAATGGTTTTATTCCAGTACAAATGATGTATCAATCAATTATAATGCTCTTTACTTCTTATTCATTACTGGCTCAGTGACTGCCAAAGCAATCAGTGATGAAGACAATATGTAGCACTTTTTAAAGAATCAAACAGCTCATTTGTTGCTGTTTTGTGAGATTGTTTTTACAAGGAAAAACAAGTGTGTCTGTATAATATCAACCATATTACTCAATTTTATATATATATATTTTATTCTTCAGATTTGCCAGAAACTGTAGCAAATTTAGCTTTTTTTAAATTGTTGTTGTCATATTCATACTCAGCTCCTTGAAATCAGTAGGAAATGATTATTTCTACCTCAATTCCATGGCTTTCATCAAAATTTGTTGTCCAGTACAATCGAATGTGTTGGGCAAAAAGAAAAGACACAGGTAGCACAACCTAGCTGTAAACCACAACCCAACTGCTCTTCAAAGGGCAAATGCAAAAGAATCAAGGTATCAATGTATCATTTTAGAGACTTCTTTCTCAACAGACTCCAATCAAATGCCCACAAGAAGGTTGTGAAAAAAATATGACTACAAACACACATAGAACCAAGAAACAGGCTTTATTTTTAAAGGGTTACTACTCCCCATCTGGGTTCCAAGGCACTATTTAAGAGAAACAAACAATAGACCTGCCTCCTCTAAGAAGCATGTCGTAAAAGGAGTGCATCTGTCAGTGATGTGAGGAACTAACAGTCTGCATATAAGACACATATGAAAAATGGATATACATAAAACACTTACAAGAACAGAAGTAGATAAACAATCAGAGCTGTCCACCAGGGAAACATATTCTTTTAGGAAACTAAATGAACTAACACAATCTTTATGAATCACACCGACATCTCAACATTTATTAAAATAAGTATCAAATTTGAATATTTATGCATGCATTTTTTAATTACTTAGGACAAACCCGACTAAACTTAACAATCTGGCTAAACTGTCTGATGAACGAAGCCTGAATAAGTCCTAATACTTGCTAAGAAGAAAGGATTATATGCAGACCAGTCTTACATTCAGCTCTTCCAATCATGAATTTTTCACACAACTATATTTTATATATAAGGCATGTTATGTTCATATAACAATATATACAAAAGTTAGTTGCACGTCCTTTACAGGATGTTGCAGAACCAACACCAGCAATTATTCTTATCAATTATTTGTGTGTGTGCGCTCACGTGCGTGCATGCGTGTGTGTGGGGGGTTGATTTCACAAGGCAACGGTGCATCCAATAGTGTGCCACTGCTTTCTGACATTCAACTCTCGAAACAATTGTTGAAACCAAGGCAAAGCAGTCTGTAATAGTATAAACATAATATAAATATTAAGTAAACAACACCAACAAAAAGACATGCTATCTTACCTGCTGGTGGTGGACTTGGAGATTCAGCTGAAGGAGATGACTCTGTTTCAGTGTCATAAATTCTCAGACCTAATTTGCAGTTTCTTGACCACAGTTTGGTGAGAGTTGGATGTTTTAGACCTGGTTGATAAAACAACTGAAGGTTAGGATAATATAAAAGTGTGAGTTTTCTTTAGCTGAGAGCTAACTAGTGGAGGCAGTATATAACTTTTCAGCAAACACTGTTTCATATATATATTAGATTGCAGCACTTTCAGGTTTAAGATACTTTCTCACACAAATGGTTGGGTGTAATATTTCTCCAGTTTTTTTTCTATGTCTCAGCATCATGATCCTGGCTAAAATACCTGTCCAAGTCTACCTTTTATGTTAACATCAAACCAAAACTTTTCAGACACAGCATTATGGGCTGTTTCCTTTATCGCAGCCTGTTACTTTCTCAATCTTCTTCTTTTTCTGAGTTGGTCATCAAAAGGGCAGCTGGCTCATCTATTGTGTTTTACAGCTTGATTGCAATATCTGCATTTTTCAGCCCAACATATCTGATTTTAGGAAACCCTTAATTAGTCACTTTTTATTACCTTTAATGGGGAAAAAAAAAGAGAGAGAGAGGGGAGAGAGAGGGGGAGAGGGGTGTAATTGTCAAACTTTTTTCACCCTGAAAGTTGGGCCCCAGAATGCACATGGGGAGCTTTCCCAATGACCGTTTATTAAACCAGATTAATGAGTGGCTAGCATCACTGGAAAGGTCACGGGTGGTGAGCAAACTTTAGATCTTTTGTCCAGGCTACGCCGGCGTGGTGGGTAATGAACAGATCCGCACCACTGGGTGGTGAATTGATACACGACAAGGCAGATGTGGTCAAGCCCCTTTGGGAACAAGCAACGGAATCAGTAGAAAAAGAAGATTATCATGGCCTGGAGAGAATGAGGCACCTGGGTGTAACCAGAGGGTCTGACCGGCTCACTACACTCAGAGGAAAGGCAAGGCGGACTTTTAACCAGATTGTGACCGGTACCATCAGTATTGGAACTTTGCACTGGCTGCTGAAGATGAGGACGGAGCATGCATGGAAATGCCCTGAGTGCTGTGATGTCAATTCTTGACAACTCAACTCAACTAAACTAGATTAATCAGAATAAACTGTTGCCATAACTTACGTTCCATTTGCAATTCCTCCTGTTAGGACTACTGTTTGCCAGTACTAACATTATAACAAAGGACAGTCCTAAGAGTTATGAGGTGTGAGTATTTTTTGTACTTTTGTAAGAAGTGGTCAGGAATAGCTAAGAAAATATAACATCTGAAATACCTGCTTCAGAATACTCTTGTAACTATTTTTATTACTCTTCTCTGTTGAAGTATGAAAATTTTCAACTTACTTTGGCTGCCTGGTGTTTTGAACAAATCTGTCTCAACTACACTAGGCAATATCTGAAAATGAAGCATAAAAGATGTAACCTCTGAACACTTCAGACAATAGAAACAAAACAAATGATTCACTGTCAACTGATTATTATTAGAAGGCACTGAAGAGAGATGACCACCTCATGCCATGATGCACTGCAAATTATATTAAAACCTGACATTTCATAGCCTTATTATAGTATCTGGTTTCCCTACAGGAGGGATACCTGTCAAATTCCAATTTAATAAACACACATTCCAAACTTGATCCTTTTTCAGCCGCCCGAGGGCCTGCTATATGAAGGAAGGTTTCTTGGTTATCTTGTTTGGTGTCCTTTTATTTGTAATGTGAAGTTACACCTGGTATTCCTTTTATTTGTCATTCAAGTCCTAAGTAAGGTGTGGTATTTGGGGTTCTGGGTCCTGGTCTAGTCTGGCTCTCTTTAACTCCTATCTCTGTGGGGTTTTTGCTGACTGTTGCTGGTGCTTGGTTTAACTTGTGCTAGTCGCTGCTCTGGTGCCCTATTACCAACCTGAAAGGTGCAAAAGGGGGGGGGGGGGGGGGGGGGATATGTCTCAATTCTGTTTTTTATTAACTCCAGAGCAGACCAGGTAAGTATCACAAACTTTATATAATTTTCATGTATTTTATATTGTTTCATTTGTTTACTTAATGTATGCATTTTAAGTTATCTATTTCTCATCATTATGCTTCTAAAGAAAGCTAATAGCTGCTATGCCTTTAATAAAAAATAGTCATAGGGTCTGTAAAGCTGACACATCATTTTTGTCATAAACATTAGCAAATGATCAAGTTGACTATTATATATCAATGCATGCAGAAATGAGAATATGTTGCAAATTAGTAATACAGAAGCTTATGAACAGGCCGAAGCAGCTGACAAAAAATTTTGATTTTCCTAGATGCCATGTCAGTCAGTGGTCTGCTAAGGGTTCAGAGACATGTCAGTCAGTGGTCTGCTAAGGGTTCAGAGACATGTCAGTCAGTGGTATGCTAAGGGTTCAGAGACATGTCAGTCAGTGGTCTGCTAAGGGTTCAAAGACATGCCAGTCAGTGGTCTGCTAAAGGGTTCAGAGACATGTCAGTCAGTGGTCTGCTAAGGGTTCAGAGACATGTCAGTCAGTGGTCTGCTAAGGGTTCAAAGACATGCCAGTCAGTGGTCTGCTAAAGGGTTCAGAGACATGTCAGTCAGTGGTCTGCTAAGGGTTTAGAGACATGTCAGTCAGTGGTCTGCTAAGGGTTCAGAGACATGTCAGTCAGTGGTCTGCTAAGGGTTCAGAGACATGTCAGTCAGTGGTCTGCTAAGGGTTTAGAGACATGTCAGTCAGTGGTCTGCTAAGGGTTCAGAGACATGTCAGTCAGTGGTCTGCTAAAGGGTTCAGAGACATGTCAGTCAGTGGTCTGCTAAGTGTTTAGAGACATGTCAGTCAGTGGTCTGCTAAAGGGTTCAGAGACATGTCAGTCAGTGGTCTGCTAAAGGGTTCAGAGACATGTCAGTCAGTGGTCTGCTAAGGGTTTAGAGACATGTCAGTCAGTGGTCTGCTAAGGGTTTAGAGACATGTCAGTCAGTGGTCTGCTAAGGGTTCAGAGACATGTCAGTCACTGGTCTGCTAAGTGTTTAAAGACATGTCAGTCACTGGTCTGCTAAGTGTTTAGAGACATGTCATGTCAAAGACTGATCTGCTAAAAGATAACGAGTTGACTATTCTAAAAAAAAAATTGAACTTGAAAGACAGGAAAGGTAAGCAATACCAAGAATCAATACCATGGGGAAAAACAATCAAAAGATATATGAACAGTTGCTTACAAAAGTCAAAAATATTTTTGTTTATTGGCAGAAAGTATTTGATATGCACTGCAACTATTCTTCATTGTAGAAAATGTGTTTCACTGATAGAATAGTTAAATAATCCAGAAAAAAAAAAAGGAGGGGGGGTGGGGGGGGGGGGGGGGCAGTTGTGATGGTACTCAAAAGAGTAGATGTAAAGTCAGTGTGAAAACAAAATCAAGTAAGTAACCTTTTTTATATTTAAAGACATATTGGATAAAAAGTGATAAAGTCATGTTTCGTGGCATAATTAGATCTCCGTGGTTGATGAGATGAGTATCATGAAAGCTGTATTTTCTTGCCAGAGCATATACTGGAACAAATTTTGCTAGCCAAACAGGCTAGGAAGTCCAGGCCAATTTTTTTAAGAAAAAAAAAAAACTGTCTCACAGGAGATTCCAGTCTATAGCCACTGGGCCAGCAGACAGTTAAGTATAAGTAAATATATCTTTACACGCCAGTGGCACATGACTCTTCATATTTTCAAAGACCAATCAGCAGTTGATGGGTGATGCAGTCAACATCAAGCAGACCGCTTTTACTTCCAGTGACCTTATCTGGCATCAATTTATTTGAGGCCGGGTTGAACTGGGAGCCAACAACATTGTTGAAAAAAATCTAACTTGATGCAGCTTCAAACCCAAGACCTTCAGACAAGCATCTAGTTGCTACACCACAGCAGCTCCCTAACAGACACTGATTGACCAACATTAATTTGTCATCAAACACTTCAGAAACATCATCTGGACTAAGAATAACTGCAAACATATTTGCAACAACCAAGTCTGGGAAGCAGAAGGGAAAATAAAAGGAGAATTGTATGTTTAATATATTTTGCTAACACTAGCAACTACTAGAGAAAAAACATGTCATTTCAATGAAGTGTTGTTGCAAAAGAAATCAGTTTACTCTGTGAGTTGTATATAAAGTAAAACATCACCATTTGTTAATTACCAAAGGCTGTGTTGTACTGTCTGAAGTCAGCATATTGTGTTTCATGTCTTCTCGACTCATCTGTATCGTCTGATCAACTATCAGCCGGCGAGGCCTTCTTCTCCTGACTGGACTTAGGCTTGGTGAGACTGGAGATAACTGAATGGCAGGTTGCTACCATACACACAAAAATCAAATACTGTGTTAAATAATAGGCTGATGATACCGCATTGGGTTCACACTAACTTTAACCCACTGACTACTATGATCTCAGGTTAAACGATTAGCCGACGCTTACGCCTATCTACTTTGATCGCACATCCTGCCATGGTAACTTTGGGCGCTCGTGCCATGTTATTATCACAACTTTTGAAATAAATGTAGGTGAAGCCATTTATCATTCATGTCTGTTTCTTTAAGGGAAGTAATTCTGTAGTGCTGAAAGTAAATTTTAAACAAATTTTCTTTTGGGTTAACTCCTATGTCAATGCCTCTTTAGGCGGAGTATTTTGATAATAGCTGCCGAATGTCATCATTTTGGGTAATATCTATGATGCTATAGAAGATTTTCGTTATTTTTTTTCCCCAATGGAATGTGAAGGTAACGATATTTCCCAACTTTGATAACTTTCACAATTCTTACTAACTGCCACCAAAAACATAAAGGATGTAGTTCACTTATCAGCAGTGAGCGTCAGAGGTTGCATTTTATGTTATAAATAGTTTCTGTAGGCTGTTTTGTGTTTGTGCTTCAAGTGTATATTGTTAAATGTGTCTGTCAATGTAGATTATGGCTCCATGGCTTAGAGTTTAATGAAAATCGTTTCAAAATTCTTGATGACATACATGATTGCAGTTTTTCTTCTTTAAATTTGTTCGTCATTCAATTTAGTGCAAAAGTGCAAATATTAAGAGTTTGTGTTAAACAGTTGTGAAGTTATGGAATCTTTGTTAGTCTTTATTGCCTTAAAAAAAATTCCAGTAGCCTTTTTTGTGTGTGCCCGTCTACAGCCACATGATGAAGTAAAGAAATTATACAGTTACTGTTTTTGAAATTTGTTCATCATCATCATAAACCACTTCTGCCGTTAAGCGTCAAGGGGGAGGAATAATTTGCGATCCAGTGCACGTTGGCTGCCACTGGCTATTGTCATGCCGTGAAGGCGTAGTGTCTTTAATGTTCTTGATCCATGTTTTCCGCGGCCATCCTCTTGCTCTTGTAGTTGATTTTCTCAGATGTAGTGCTTGTGATGGTATTTGATCTTGCGGCATTGTAACAAGATGGCAAAACCACTTAATCTGCTGTTTCTCGGTGAATCTAGTACAAGGTGTAGTTCCCACAATTTGCCTGATAGTTTCATTATTTACGCGATCTCGGATGGTTAGGCTGGCTGCTTTTCTCAGGCAGCTCATCTCGCAGGTGGTGATTTTGCATATATGGGCTTTAGATAGTGTCCATGTTTGGCAATTTGTTATCCATTCAATTTGGTGCAAAAATACAAAAATTTTATGAGTTTATGATAAATAGTTGTGAAGCTATGGAATTTTTGTAAGTCCATATTGTTGTGACAAAAAGAATTTTCAGTTTTTTTTAAAGTTGTTGCAAGAATCTAAAGGCACATCTTGATGTAAAACAAGATTATGCAGTTGCTGTTCTTAAAATGTGTTCTCCCTTCTAATTTGTGCAAAAATGCAAAATAACTGAGTTTATGTTGTATAGTTGTGAAACTATGGCATTTTTAGTATGCAACATAAATATGCATATATGGTAAAGTGCAAGGGTCAATGAATGGGCTTGGTAGTCAGTGGGTTAACACTTAAAAAAAAAAAAAACAGACAAATAAATCCAGCCCTTACAAAAATGACTACTAAATATTCACCATCACAATCAAGTACCTTCCTGACTAGAATGGGTGATCATGCCCCTCTCCACCATCTGTGACTGTCAACAGCATGTATTTGCACAATAAAATGGCTGTCAAGAATCTTCTCACCTTGTCTTCCTGTCTCTTTTCCAGTGGTCACAACATGTTGTAGTTTTATTCTACTAATATGCCCCAAAAAATTAGGACAATTTCTTATGTTTGTGGTAAGTTTGTTTGCGCCCCTGCCTTTTTCAAAACATCAGGGCTGCTTTTTCTGCTGTTCAAGGAACAATGAACTCTTCTGTAAAACAACATTTCCGATGCCTCAAAAAACTGTTTATTAACTGTCCAGGATTCACAGCAGCCACATGTTAAAACTGGCTCTATATATCATGCAAGAATTCTTTTCCTAACCACCAGTGACATGGATGTTTAGTTCAAACAATGCAGTTTTAGCCTGTCCTATGCCTTTGTGATACATCATCTGTCGGGTGTTATCTGTGTGCCTAGATACTCAAATGAAAACTAACTACAACCTAACAAAAAGAAGCATTGTACACACCTTCTGCCTTTATCCACCAGTGGACCTTTGGGCCCTCAACAAAGTCAGGACAAGCCATCCTGCTTGCTCTTATTGTTAGCAGCTCAGATCGTCTTCTCCATACTGCTCATTCAGTATATTACACATACAAGGTATTATCTCTATCCCTAGTTCTCTTCTTTCAAGTCTCCTTTTATATCTTGTACTCTGCCGTTACCAGTGCAAGGACATTCTAGCTATATTTACAGGTTTTCACAAATATATGATCCGGGCAAAATAACTGTAAAGTTTATATTTTTTATTTTTGAGGCATCAATTTTTCCAGTGCTGCTGTAAAAGAAAAATTGTGCTAAGTGCCGGCACCCTTTTAGACATTATGAAGTAAGTACAGCTGCTTCTTTCTCAGGAAAAACCTCTGCACATATAACCCCAGTATCTAAAAAAATATTTCAAGCATAATTTAAAAAAAAAAAAAAACTCTCTTAATGAGTGAAAATGTATGAACTACGATTGACTGGAGATGTGAATCTTCCTAACATGTTGAGTGTTATCTTCTTCACGTTCACTGACTGTAAACTCTGGAGGAAAGTTCGGGCTGTTCGTCCACTTCTGGACTGCAGTCCTGTTCCAGAACTTGAGTGTTTCATGTGCATCGGTTTGACATATTAGACTAATTTGTATGCAGACTGTTGCTTCCTAAAATAGCACTGTTAAGAAAAGCACTAGAAGAATGCATTAAAACGCACTATCAATGACCTTATTAATCACAAACCTGCCATAAGATGTCTAGATTTGTAAAACAGATGTGCACACAAAGCTCAAGTTCTTGAACAAGATCAAAGTCCAGAAATGGAAGAACAATTCCCCCCCCCCCCCACCCCCCTTCTTTACAGCCAATTAATGCTTAGAAGAAGCAGGAGAAGAATTAACTCTTAACTACCTGTTGCAGCCAGTCATGACCCCGAGGCATCTCCCTTGCAGCCTCAGGTGCCCCCACATGGGGTGCAACTTCTAGTTCCTCTGCAGCAGTAGGCAAACCTAGATTGGAATTCATTTATGTTTAGTTAGTTAGTTGGGTTATCATCATTGAACTCCGGACATGTCCATAGGTGCTAAGATCCTCCCCTCAGTATGAACCCCAATGTCCGATGGCTAATAGTACCAAATTTATGTTGATTAACAAGTCTTCTGGCCTGTCTGGTGTGCGTCTCGTTTTTTGCTATGCCGATCTTAATTCCCAAGTCTGCCATTCTGGCGAGTGACGTGCATTCACTGCCACCAAAGTACTCTATCCTTCCCATTTCTCTAAGGGCATTAATAATATCAGCATGATCCATAGGCTGACCGTCGGTAGTGATAGCCGATCCAGCCAACATGTCAGCTCTTTCATTTCCATCGACGCCTGTTTAGTTATCATTATTAAGTGTATGAGAAAGCAAATATATTAAAAGCAACTCAATTATGCAATTTTTAACTGCTTCGTACTGAGAAGCCGTAAACCTAGGCTGTAAATGCCAATTAACTGGTACAGTTGAAGTGACTTGTCCCCGAGATGCCTAATTAACAGCAGTGGTTCTATTAGCACAATAATTAGGATACCTCAAATATTATATTTACTTAAAATAGCATATGGAAATTTGGGGGGAGGGGGGAGGGGGGGGGGGGGGGGGCTTGTATGTCCAATTCGACTCACAGTTTGCCTTGACTGAGTAGTGGTAGGGATTTAGACTTGGTCAAGGGATCAAGGTATGCTTGTGCACATATAATAGACAAGTACATGTTAACAATACCAAGGTATGTTTGTATGTACATGATATACAAGTACATGTAACAATATGAAGGTATGCTTGTGCATAATACATTCACAAGTACATGTGACAATACCAAGGTCTGCATGTAGACAAGAATATATTGTATTTGCAAAGCATGTCTGTGCACATATACACATAACCAAAATATCAGAGTATGCCTTCACATAAAACACACACATTCATGCACATATATAACACATGTTACTCGACTGTATTGACATTAACCTTCTTGATCTGCAGCTTTGCGTTTTGCTCTTTTCTCTTCTGGAACATCCTGGCGTCGTTTCCTTTTAGGTTTCTGTGGTGTACTGGGCATGTCACCAGCTGTTCTCACTGCTGGTGTCTCTTCTAGGGGAGCATAACTGAGAACAAAAGAAAGATCATAAACAATTACTACAGTGAGTCAAACTAGTAAGATATTATTACCAGCAATTGTTACTTCTATATTCACATGTTATTTTTATCAGTAAGGATTCCCCTTGTGGGTTCAGGGGCCCATTGTGGGAAAATTACGTGTTTTACCAAGCTTTACTCCCAGGTAATGCAACTGTGTTAGCATCAGTGATTCATCATTATCCCCAATTTAGTCAGTACAGCGCTGATGACATCAGCTCTTTCCATACTTCTGCTGTTTGCATTGATGTACTACTTGCCAGGTGGTCAGGCATTTAATTATCTTTCCCTCCTGCATTTTACTGATTCATTTTACAGTGCAACCGTGGCGCGGTGATTTATGTCACAGGCGTGAGGGGAAGTTAAGTCCAAAATGATGTGTATAAGGAGATACTCCGTACGTCACTCGGGCGCCAGTCCTTTAATATCCTGGTTGAACGGAACCTCACGCAAGACCCCGGCAGCACGTCCTCGTCGTGCGCCACGGATAATGTCTCAAATGAGCATTAACAGAGCTGCCAGGGGATCTCGGAGTTTGGCGGCCCCCAGAGGTGATGTGTCCTCGTGGCTCTCATCAGCCCGCCCCCAAACGCTTGGGTGAAAAAATTGTTAACAAAACTCATTAGGAACATGAGTAGGTCTGCCAAACGTACAGCCAAAATTACAACCCTTGGTTAAAAGACTGCGGAATAAAGAGAACATTGTTCACTGCACATCCTCTGTTAACCCTCAGTGTCGTCGTCACCGCGCTGGGGTACACCACAACAGAAACCATCCATGGGCTGGCCAATCATGTACATCCTCGGTTAACCCTCAGTGTCGTCGTCACCGCGCTCGGGTACACCACAACAGCAACCATCCCTAGGCTGGCCATTCATGTACATCCTTGGTTAACCCTCAGTGTCGTCGTCACCGCGCTGGGGTACACCACAACAGCAACTATCCATAGGCTGGCCATTCATGTCCTTGGTAAACCCTCAGTGTCGTCGTCACCGCGCTGTGGTACACCACAACAGCAACCATCCATCGACCGGATGGCAAAGCCTAAATTTCCGACAAAACTAGATCATACGGATCAAAATCTGACCTCAAAATTTGAATTGAACTGAAAAAGACCGAATATCCACACCCAAAGACACCACTCGCCCGAGTGTTGGGACAAAACTGATAACGATATGCCTGATGCAGGATGTAACATCTGTCGGGCTAACGGCTCGTCAAAGAAATCTAACGTGCGAAGGAAAAAAAAAAAAAAAGAATGTACCTATCTGTGTGGTTACAAAAGTCCAAAACCCGAGGGATGCTCACCGCTGACCCCCAGAGGGCGCAGCCCCTGTCGAGCGGGAGGCCTGATACGATTGTGAGGTTAAGCAGGCTTGTGCAGGACGTGACGATTCCTTGGGTGAGCCCAAAAACAGAGCGCCATGTGTCGGCTCTGCATACATGGATGCCTCCTTGGATGGCGGGGAATGCCCAAGATCTGCCCCTGCCTTCCCTTGAGGGCTAACTGTTCCACAGGGGGCCGACCCAAAGGGGTACTCCGGGGGCAATACCTGCGGCAAAGGAGACGAAGTGGACACCACACAAATCAGGCAACGTCTCGACCCACACAAAACAATGGCCACAGTCACCCTAGAAATAGGCCTGACGTCTTCCTTCGAAGTCGGCGTACAACTGCCCATGAGGCAGGGAAATAAAAAACGGTTGTACACGCAAAAATCAGGTCCAGGTGAAAGCCAAAAGTCCAAGCGGACGATTACCTGACCTTCCACTGGAATTCACAGCCGGTGTTCGATGAAAAAAAAAAAAAAAAAAAATACAGTGCAACCACAGTGAGAATTTATACAAAACAGTGTAAACTACTGGTTTTACCTTTACATAGAGCCTCAATAATCACCCACAAATCCTAAACTCTTAAGTTCTGTCAGTGGTAGCAGGTTGTAGGATGTAATTACTGACACTTGTAACCCTGAGTCTGAGTTATATCAGTGAGACAAGCATGAGAAGTGAAATTACTGATTCACAGAATGCTGGGATGCACAGGTGCTAAACCACACATGGTGGTTCACCAGGACCGGGGCACAAACTGGTCAGGACCTATCTGCACCTCCCTATGGTCATCCTATAAAAAAGGTTATCTACCCTAGTCCCTAGCCAACGTAGACAGGATCGATGTTTCCCCCCAAAGTCTGAGTGCATCTGCTTGAGAGGCAAGAAACCATCAGTCTGCACACAAATCCAGATCTGTAAAACGGAAGTGCAGGCAAAACTCACATCCTGGATCAAAGCCAAATACCATAAGTGGACACAACGAGGACACTCCACAGGGTTTACAGCCGGTGAACACGAAGAAGAATAAAAAGAAGTAGAAGAAGAATGCTCGGTCTGAGTTTTTTATGTGTTAAGAGTTACAAAGAAATCATTGGTCTTACCGATAAATAGAAAGCTGGGTCTGGGTTATGTCAGTAGCAGCCAGGATTCTGGACAACTGAGGACTAAGTAATTCTTCTGCTGACAAACTGACATCCTCGGAAAACAAGGCCAGGTTCTCCATGTCCATAAAAGGAAGATCTTGTTCTCCAGGAAGCTGAAAAACAAGAAAAACAAAGACATAACAAATGTGGGTGTATCGTAGATGCAGGACAGTAACCACATATACACACATAAATTCAGTTTTCAGACAGTCAGATAGATTCTGGACTTGGAATGCCTACCATATCAGAGAGTCAGCTAATGAAACTTGAATGCATACAGAATGAAATAATGTGGGTAATTCTGGGATGTACACGAGATACCCCGGCAGTCTTACTGTTAGTCGAGATTTCAATGAATGTCTATGCAGCGATGGGAAAAGAGGAGTTGGGGGAATTTGATTTTAGACTCTTATTTAAGACTGATTTCATCCATGTCGTATAAAGACCCTGTCAATACTATTACTTTTTTCACTGACAATGTGTGAACTGGTTAGCTATTTTGCCAGGGAAAATGTTAAACATAACAGTAACATTTAAAATTCTAGCCCTGCTATAGGAAAAAAAAATTATATTACAAATATCAAAACCACTTCAAAATATGTCATGATCAACTAATCTGAAGTTTTCAATTCTATCTCTGTTTATCTTTAATTTCCACACATTTACCAGGACTTACCATTGTTTCTATGGGCATGACATGACTGTCTCTAATTTGGATATCCATCTGATCAGCAACTGAAGACGGTGGACTTTCAATGTCTGTTGAAGAGTCAACAACAAAATACTTTAGAGAATGCTTGTAAAATTATGTTTTCTAGCTACAAATAAACCGACTCCAATATTGTATTTTCTTAGCTACATCAAAGAGAACAATACCAATATCCCAAATGTCAGAATCTGAATCAAGTCTATACATCTATTATAAATAGAGATATCTATGTTTAGCAAAGTAATTGTTGAAAGGAAAAGAAGAGGAAAAAGACAACTCAGAGCTTGCAGATCTGTGTCTAAGGCCACAAATATATTGCTGTAAACTTTACTGGTAGGAATCTTTACAAACATAATATTTATTATTGCGATGTTTTTAAGGCTTTTAATTTGTTTTAATTTTAAACATTAATGATTCCGTTTCTTTTAATTATACATCTGTTTGTTGAAAACTAGTGAAAGATAGAAATATAATTATAAATGAAATTATTTTACCACAATGAGCTAGCTAAGCATGAAATGTGGTCAGGACAATAAGTAGTTTCCCAATGGACTGCGAACACAGAAAAAGTTTTTTTTAAATGACAGGTCTTCTTGTACAGGGGCCATGACATATTTTCTTGATACAGACAGTGCATATGTGAATAGTAAGTTAAACAACAATAACAACAACACAAAACCATACAGACAGCACTTGGGCAGATCATGCAGGAACTACAAGTTGTAAAAAATAAATCAAACAAATGGAATTTAATAATCACGTTCAACATCTGCATATTTTTCTTAATACAAAACAAGGTACTACGGAGATTATAATACATTAACAACGACGTGTTCAAACAGACCATGTGCCAATCCCAAAGATGAGAGTCTGCCTTCACTTCAAGGCGTCCTACAATCAAAAACTTCCGCGCGGAGATGCACACAGAAATCTAGATCTAACAATCTATCCACTGAACATACCACAAAAAGATGAAACCAGTGAGCCAATTCATCCCTCCACTCAGTTCCCCAAACCTATTTTGTGCTGAAAACCTTGTACGGTCTCGTAATGAAAAGTCGAGACTACATGTTTCTAATGTCCCTGCCACAGACTAAAGAGAAAATTTTTTCCTGCGCTAGATCTTATAAAAACTTGTTTACTCAATGGCCACTTCTGGAGAGTTCCAATATGCAAACATGCCAGTTTGAGTCTACCAAGTGTAGCCAAAACAAAATTATTAACAGACTAACAGTCTCTTCCAATCTGTTACATTACGAACATGCCAACATTAAACAACTGGTTAATAAGCTTATTTACATGAAAGTTAATGAAACATACAGGTCCAAAAATTACAAAATGTCATACATCTCATTGATGTCTCCCAACAGCAGATCAATGGTTATCTATCTGACTGAAAAAAGTTGTGCATATTTGGATGCCTAGCCTGTTACAGGGTTCAAAGATCAATGATGTGTGACCAGACATTTGTATTTTTACTTTTGCCAAATTAAAACTATACAAAAATAGATAGCATTTCTTTTCTGTTTGCATTTAAAATAAAACATGTATGCACTTTTCTACTTCTTCTTTTTTACGTTCACTAGGTGTTCCCTCTGTTCGTTTGCTTCTGGACCTTAGTCTTGTTCCAGAATTTGAGTGTTGCGTGTATATCAATTTTACAAATCTGGTTTATTTGGATGCAGACTGCAAGTTCCTTGCTTCTTAGGCAGATGCACTCCAACTTCAAAGAAAACTCACAATTAGTCAAATCTTATGAGATGCTTCTTAGGAAGATATTGGGTCTATTCTTGTTTTTCCCAGAAGGAAAATATACTTATCTAAAACTCTGTAGTCTTATATCTATATCTATATATATTAATATATTAATATATATATTAAAAAATCATTATCAAGAATTACAAGTGGTAAGAAAATATTCAAAATATTACCTGGTTGTGGTTGACCCAGCAAATACTTTGATACACAGCTGCTGTCCCAGATATCCTTTAATTAAAAAACCAATTAAATATCACATCAAGCACAAAATTAGATTTTGTCATGAAGAGAAAAAGAAGAAAAGTAAGGCTAAAATACATTTCTGTACTACTATCATCTTTTAATGGTATGAATTTATTGTTCACTTCTTAATCTAGCAGTACATATGGATATGAGTCGTGGACTATCTCTCAGTCCTTAAGAAAGAGAATAGGGGCTTTTGAGTTGAAATGCTATAGAAAGATTCTCAGAGTATCTTGGACAAAGAAGAGGAGAAATATTGACATCTTAAACGATCTGAACATCAAGGAAGATTGGCTAATGAATAGCATCCTTTCTCGGAAGCTGAAATATTTTGGTCATATCAAGCGCAACAACGGATTGGAAAAAATTATAGCAGAAGGCATGGTACCAGGAAGGAGGGGCAGGGGCCAACCGACACGAAGATGGGCACAAGATATAAGTGACTCCTTGAGTATGAAAATACATTAGGCGGGAGAACTGGAGAGACCGAGTTTCTATCAGGCAGTCTGTGATGAGAGCGACGTTCTGCAAAGGACCTGCCACATGATGATGCTGAATCTAGCAGTATCTGAAATATGAGTGTATGATTATTTTTTGTAAATAAGCAAACGTACTGAAGTGTGTTTATGTATATACGTGCATACACACAAATAAATGAGGGAAAGTCAATAAGTAGGTCACAAATGGTTATGGGATGGCAGGAACATGTAGTTGATGGTTTCTAAAGGTGTCATTAGCTGACAGCAACATCAAACTTTATGTTTCCGTTCATTAGGTGGTGCTAGGTGTTGCATGTGCATTCGCAAAAAAGAAAAAAAAAAATAGCAACTGTACTTACGGAGTTTACCCTCAAAGAACAAAGTGTTGTTGTGCAATTTTTGGGGGGAGGAGGGAGCAAAAGGGCTTCCTGCAAAGGACATTCATAGGGAAATGCTTCCTGTTTATGCTGACAAATGTTTATCCCATAAAGTTCTAGCAATGCTTCACGATGCAATTCTTAGAAAACATTCAGACCTGCTGACTAGAGGAGTACTGCTCCTTCATGACAATGCCAGACCACATACCACTAAGTTAACTCAGTAAAAAATTTAACCATCTAGGGTGGGAACTTCTGGAACATTTACCTTACAGCCCTGACTTAGCTCCTAGCGGTTTCCACCTTTTTGGTCCACTGAAAACCCATCCGAATGACGCAGAAGTTAAATGTGAAGTAAAAATGTGGTTAAGAAAAACAGAGCACACAGTTCTATGCAGCAGGTTTTGGAGGACTGATAAAACAATAGGATAAGTGCATCAATGTTGGTAAAATGATGTCGACAAAAATAAAGCGACAGTGTTTGTGTAACAATAAACAGTTTTCAAGTTGTTATCCTCTTTAGTTTTTCTTTTTTTAAACAACCACCATGTGTGAGTTACTTATTGACTTCCCAATTATATATATATATACATAGGTATGTGTGGTACAACTGGTAAATTTTTTGAAACATTACGAGATATGCCTGGTTAATTTAACTGCTTTAAACTAATCCAAGTCCTGATCTTCTTTCTGCCTTTCATCATCTAGTGCAGCACATAATCCTAATCAACTTATGCCCAGCCTTCCTCATATCCTTAGGATTTATTTATGGTTGGTTGTATTTTACAGCCAAATATCTCTCATCAAGGACGATATATAAATATTTGATGGCATTTTTATTTTATTTTAACTCACTATTACCTGAGTAAGTAAGATTCTCTGCCCTTTATTCTCCCCTTGTAACATAGGCCCTCAACCATCTCAAGTCGTTTGCTACGGCACACAGCTCATCTCAAGTCTTCCGCATCCATTTGTTTTTTTAACTTCACTCTTTAATTCCCTTTTCCAAGTGTTTTCTTGGCTTGCTCTATGCCTTTGATACCAGGTTCCAGTGCAAAAGCATTCCTGTTATAATGTCTCAGATTTCTCAAAATCTGTTCTATCCAACGCCAATATCTTTTCTTTCCCTCTAGATTCACTAGAATTTGTTCACCTCTCCAAAAAGCTCTAAATCAGTGATTCTATCATACCATTTAATTTCCTCTATTCTGTGCAGGTACAAGTAATTGTTAAATGTTTTAGTAATTGTTTAAACTGTTCTGTATACCAATATTTAAAGAAACACTGTAAAATGTGAACACTTTTTTTTAACATAGTGCATATATAATAATAGAACACTGTAAACAACTTGTGAAATAACAGAAACTGAAGAAATTTAAGACAGAAAACAAAAAAATTTTCAGCTGCAATAAAATCCAAAAATAAAATTAAAACAAAGATACCAGAATAGCTTCAACATCAACTGTTGCTTCTTTAAAATTGCCAAAAAATGGATCATAGTCTTTGCTTGTTGGCACACAAGATGCTATTGTGGCTGGATCTTGTCTATAAAGAAACCAGCATAAACCTTTAAAAGTCAGCCTACAATTTCTAATATAAAACAGTGGGCCATCTTACTGCAGATAAATATGCTAGTTAGCCGATTAGTGTAAAATTATACAGAGGCGGTAAAGCTAGTTTTACAGACAAAAGATCAGAATACTCTGGAACAGATAAAACAAGTAATGATGATGTCTTGAAAGAATTTAACGCACAAAAAGAAGCCATAACCCATATCAGAAGGAAGTAATATATATTCTTTGGTCACGTCATGAGAACGATAAAACTGGAGTAAACTATGACAGTGGGGAAGTTAAAGCCACTAACAAGTAGAGAGAGAGACTAAGAGAAGAAAAACTGGACAGTGCGTCATCATAGCATGGAAGATCATTTGTCAGAAACGACTGAAAGCACATATAACAGAGGGTAGTGGACAAACATGACTACTAACGTCACACAGCATGGACTACAGGAAAAATGATACTTTTCTATATCTTGAGATATTTTTGGTTATAAAGTGATAGATTCAAATGATCGTAGATCAGTAGTCAGCGAGTGATCTCGTAAATATTACATAGGCTGCAATCCTCCTCTTCTACATTATTGAAGGTTCCAACTTCACACGCGCTATCCCATAACTACATTCTTGCATCAGTGGAAATTATACTATGAAAAACATGCCAATCCAGCTAAATCTTGAAGCTCACACACACAAAATAAATGCATACAAGCTCCACACCAGAATTGCAACTCACTGTTGATGCAAGTAGTCAAAAAAGCCTGCATTACACACGTGATACTGCAGAAGTACATGCCATTCTGAACATAATCAAAGATGTCACAGTCAAAATAGAAAACCTTGGCTAGAAACAAACAACTTTTCAGAGCGGAGAAGCCAGCCACTTACCCACCTGACTGAACAGGAAGTCTTTTTTCTTTCAACATCACCTTTAATGAGTGGTTGACAAGTGTTACGGTTTATATCTTAACTGCCATAAATGTGCCTATAGACCAACCATACAATTTCTGCATACACCTAAATAATGGCCTCATAACATACTTTTTAGGAGGCCATTGATCTATTCTTTTTTCCATCAAAATGGGGCCCAAAAACAAGAACCAGTGTTGCGTGCATATCCATTTTATAGATGACTCATTTGTATGCAGACTGTTAGTCCCTTGCCTCTCAGGAATATGCTTTCCGACTTCAAAGAAAGCTCCTAATTAGTCAACTCTTAAGAGAAGCTTTTTTTTCTATGCAGTGGGTCTATTCTTGTTTTTTCCACAATGGGATGCCAAAACCCACATGGGGAATGACATCATCAAGTATTTCAGACCCAAAAAGTTGTTACTATTATTCATTCTACACCATAACATAATGTGCCCTCTTACTTTTGCAAAATTTGGTCAGGACTACAGCTGCGTAAAGTGCTATTTTAAAAGTCAACAATTCATATTTCATCATGGTTGCTATCTTCAGTCTGGTATCTCCTATGGAACCTCATGGTACCGAAAGAGTTAAGTCTAAATGCAACATAATTACAGTTCATCTGAATCATTATAAGGGTTTCCATCTATCAAAGTGAGGCTGGAGTACAGAATATTCTCCTGACTCACTAACATACCACTACAACATGGACTATATTGCAGTTTTCCTTCCCTTCTCCAAGTTCCGACACCAAGCATGTGTTCAATGGTGGAACTGAATCTTCATATGTATTTGTGTTGTTACCAATTTTTTTTTAAACTGACCGTTTAATAGATTCTTATTAAAGAAATTCAGAGTTCAAAAGATTCTTACTTCAGTATGATGAGATCAATGTCACTTGTTACTTCAGGGTGACATTTTCTTAATAAAGCACTGACATCCACTGAAATATTCAGTTTTTCAGGTCAGTTAATACAGCAAAAAAAAAAAAAAAAAAAAAAAAATTATGATAATGCACACACACACACAAAATTGCAGATCACCCTGAAAAAAAGGAATTAAATTTCAAGACAGCAGGTCAAAACTAAAGATTACAAATCATGACAGTAAAACATTAAGGTACTCATTAAAGTCTGCACAAGTTTAACAATAGAACACACTTTATTGCAAATCACACGTCTACATAACTTTTGAGAATACTAAATTTGAATTAAGAAAGGAAATTTCACAAACTCACAAAACAAATATTCCCACTGTTTCTGAAGAACCCTGACAGAGCCATACATCAGCTGAGACGTCAGATACAAAGAAAATCGACGTGGACGCTGGACAGCTTCCTTGCCTATATACCCTGGAATATGGCTGAGAATGTCTGAGCTGAAAAATAATAACATAAACTGAAGTTAATTCAAAGCAATTTTTATGTTGTGATTTTAAATAAAGAGAATACAATACATTGCCTGGTCTATTTTAACTTTAACTCACCAGAGGCATGCTTAAGAAATAACATAAACATATAATGAAGAACAAAAAAAAAAAAAAAAAAAGAATCCTTTCAACCGAAATACAATAAATCATATAACCCATGATTGCCTTTTTTTACCTCAGTAGTGGGGGCCGCGTTAGCCCAGTCGATAGGGGGCTCGCTTTCAAATCCAGCTGTGACTCGCTGCAGCCACGGTCGGTGTTCAAAAACGGGCGGTTCCAAGGTTCACCCAGCCTCTAGAAAATGGGTACCAGAGTGACACTCCGGGGTAAAATGGAGGAACGTCGCTGTAGCTACAGAGTTACGTGCGGACGGCGACACAGGAGGAAATTTTCTTATCAGCTGTCCGTACTGGTGGCAGAGCACTTATGGTTTATATCCGTATGCAATGACGCTGGTTCACATCTCCCGACTTTACCTTTACCTAGGTGAAGTGTTAAAGTTGTCAACATGTCCTATCTGAAAACCAAAGGATTTCCCTTGTATACTGGTAGGCTTGATTCATCACAGCACACAAGTTTTAATTCCCAATGATACGATAAGTTTTTGTTAAGTTAAATTTTTTTTTTTTTTTTATTGAGTAAACTTAAAAATCCCAGATGGTTACTGTATCTATCATGAATGCCATGATCACTGATGGAAGAATACAATGAAAGAATAAATATGGAGTGCTAAAAGTTAATTTGCTTTCATTTACCAGGCAATTCTTAGGATCTTTTTTTTCTAACATTTCTCTAAAAGGAGTAGTATAAAATATACACACTAGAGGTATCATCATCATCATCATGTAGCAGGTCCTTTGCAGAACATCGCTCTCATCACAGTCTGCCTGAAAGAAACTCGGTCTCTTGCCAGTTCTCCTGCTTCATGAACTTTCACACTCAAGGAGTCACTTATATCCTGTGCCCATCTTCGTGTCGCTCGGCCCTGCCCCTCCTTCCTGGTACCATCCCTTCTGCTATAATTTTTTCCAATCCGTCGTGGCGCTTGATATGACCAAAATATTTCAGCTTTCTAGAGGTATACTTTGATAATATAACAAATCTTAAAGTTAAACTAATTTTGTGTGTGTGTGTGTGTGTGGAAAGAATTGGCTTTGGCATTTTAAGAGAATGCCCTGATACTAACTATAACTGAAAGCCGTGCATTAGAAATATAATGAGAACCCCTGGGTGGTGAACTGATACATGACAAGGCAGATGTGGTCACGGCCCTTTGGGAACAAAAATGGAATCAGTAGAGAAAGAAGATTATTATGGCCTGGGGCACCTGGGTGTAACCAGAGGGTCTGGCCGGATAGCTACACTCAGAGGAAAGGCAAGACAAACTTTTAACCAGTACCATAAGTAATGGAACTCTTCTCTGGCTGCTGAAGATGACAGAGCATGCATGGGAATGCCCCGAGTGCTGTGATGTCAATTCTTGACTCAACTCAACAGCAAGGGGAAAACCATGTAAAATATGGAATGAATTACAAAGAAACTTTTAGAAATACTTTTACGGGGCATTAGACGAAGCACACAGAAGATTGTTACACATTTTCCAACACATCGCTGAGGTAGCTGGGAGAAGAGTAAAAGTAGTGTGAATATTTTATTAAATGCATTGTGAAAATTCTCTTACCTACTAAACATAAATAAAAAATATGCCCATTATTAAATAAATTACAAATTTTATAATACAAATCTCAAGTATGTATATATGTTTTTAATCTCTTATTTAGTGTTTTGTTATCTATTTATTTCCAAGAAATCAGTCACATGTTTTCTTCTTTTATTGCTCATCAACTGCCTCATTAGAATTCATAAAGTGTGATAATTATAAATATGGAGAATGCATTTTATTTAGTACCAGAAATCTACAAACTTTTTATTCACAAAATTATGAGCGATGTTCCCTGTGTTCTGCCTGAGTCAGGTCAAGAAGAGACATCTTTAGGAGGTCTGTTGTAGGCTACACAACTGGTAGTTTTTTCTCAGATACTATTTTCAATTCACTGTTTGTCAGGGTCACTTGTCTCCAGGCTCCAAACCTGCTAAGATCTTGTTGACGGATTTAAAGGAACATACAAAATATATGACTACGAACGAACGAATGAACTTTATTTAAAAAACTGAGAATCGATACAGAGATATAGGCAATGTGTCAGCCAAATTAACAACAATACCTGGCAATAAAACCCTTACAAAACAGTAATGTATGACATATAAACACTAAGTTAGGGAAATGAAAATACGGAAAGGGGAAAATTGAAGGAAGGGTTTAAAGAACAAATGTTTTTTATCATAAGTAATTAAATCTGCTTTCCTTATCCAGAGTTGAGTCTGCCAAGGATTCTCCAGCATCAAGTGAAGAGGTGGTGGTTATGATCAATCAGTCACAGTTCAAATTTTGTGGCAAAGTCGTCACTCATAAAATCCTCTGATTCTGTGCCAGTGAAAACTATAAAAAATGTCCATCACTAGCCCTTGTGAAACAGAAACGTACACTGATCAGTTCTGATGCATACCAAACCCAACCTTTTCAGTTTAAAAGGTTGCATCTTCAGTACCAAAAATCTCGGGATATAATAACCACATACAAGGTTATGAAAATATACACTTCCCATATCTGGTATTTTTTGTAACGATTATCTTTTCCTGGAAAACATATTGCAAAGTCTTTGCACAGTTGATAAAAAAAATTTTTTTTATAAACAACTCCAGCGTTACATACCAGGTCATGGAAATATCAATTGCATACAGTTCCCTTTTGCTCAGCACCTTGGTCTGGGTAGCTGCAAGCCTGAAAGGCAAATTGAAATTTGTGACTGATATCTGCCATGTTGGTTTCCTCACGAAGCTATAACTGTTAGTCTTAACTCTTTCAGTAGCGGACAATTTTGCTTTAACTCTTTGGGTCATAAGAAATGCATCACACGTTAATCGATTACTACCCAGGCGGCCAATCGGCCCGTGGCGCGTTCTGATTTTCAAATTACCACTGGTCGGTATAACAATGCAAACTGGCAGTTTTGAATGGTATTTCCTGTTCTTGGTGTTCAATGTCACATTTATTGACCATAAGGTGTATTAACAAATGTGGTTAAAAGCATAAAACATATCATGTTTGTGAGTTTTACTGAGTTGCTAAGTGTGAAAACAATATGGCCTCCAAGCAGACTTCTGCATGCTTGTCACCAAGACTTATGACTTTAGAAGTCTCATATTTAAATAGAACACACATTTAACAGATTTATTTGAAGCTAGACAAAGAAAGCTATAAAGTAGACTTGTTTCAATTATTGATTGAGTCAAACTCAATGAGGAATAGATTGGATAAATACCTCACGCAAAGCGCACAATGCTAACAAAGTCAGATGGTAAAAACTTTTAAAATATTAGTGAGAAAGGCAATATTCTTCTGCATCACCCCGGTTTAGTGTGATTCCCTTATTATTTGGGAATAAAGGCTAGATAATTACAGGCAAACTGACCGTTAAAAAGTGTGTGTTTTTTTATATACTGTTTTCTGAGGTCGTTTTTCATTACAAAAAATGGTGCTCTGTTATGATGTTATAAAAGTTTCTCTGGAACAAGATCTAATGGACAGACTGTTTTTATATTTTTAGACATTACTAAGCAGTTCATGCTCACTTATGTCATTTTGGGTATACTTTATCGTATTTTACCTTGAGTACCATGGCGGTGAGTGGAACAATTACTATTTTGTTATACTAATTTCTCCAAACATACAATCTATTTACTAATAATTAACTACTAACATAATTTATTTTTGTAGCAGTATTCTAATATTATTCCTAAAAAATCCCTGGTCACTTTGATGTGTAATATGTGTATGTTGCGGTACAGCTGAATTAGTATGGTCTGTTTAATTGTTTTACACTGTCATTTCAAAATTGCATTAACACCCCTTGGGCCTTTGATGCTAAACTTCCTGGGACTCAAAAAGTTAAGCTGTTCTATCTAAAACAAATGTTACCTTAAAAAAAAAATTATCCACTGAGCTATGACTGAAAGAAGCCAAAGAGGGAAAAAATACACACACATGAAATATTCCCCCTTTTCATTTATTATGGTGTGTGTTGAAGGCTTCTGGTGCAAGGTCCGATTTTTCTTGTGTGCGGCTTTCCCCCTTCTTCCTTCGTTAAGTTCCTTAGTTATAGCTAAGTGGGTTATTTTCCTGATATTAGGTTGACTACAAAAACCAGTGTTGCCATTAAATAAAACCAATAACAGTATACTACAATAACGGATTCGGCGAGTCTAAAGGGGTTCAAATAATATTCTTTAAAATTAAAATTTAGTGAGAATAATACAAAAACTGAATAAAGCACAAGTCAAGACAAATATATAATCCAAGGAGAAATAAAAAAAACTAATTATGACTGATTGATACTTACTGACTACAAACACATGCAAATATCAGGAATGCAACTGACAACTTACAAATATTTACAGCTGCTTGAGGTAGCTGTGGCAAAGCACTATAGTGATTTTCCAATACATCACTTACATGTCAATTTCCCTGTGTGGGTTCCAGGGCCCCATTGTGGAAAAACAAAAATAGACCCCTTGCCTGCCGAGAGCATGTAGTAAGAGTCGACTAAATGGGAGCTTCCTTCGAAGTCAGAGTAACATTTGCCTGAGAGGCAAGGAACCAACAGTCTGTGTGCAAATGAGTCGACTTGTGAAACAGATGTGCACGCAACACTCAGTTTCTGGAACAGGACTAGAGTCCAGAAGTGGACGAACAACCAGAACTTTCCGCCAGAGTTTAGAGCAGGTGAACGCAAATAAGAAGAAGACATGACAATTACCATTTATGCCTCTCAGTAAATGCTTAAGAAGTGTTAAAAGTAATTCATGCACTGCTATGGCACAATGTCTTTGCATTGGAACCCACAAGGGCATAGGAATAAAGAAAGGCCAAAAAACACATGGAGAAGAGAGCTGGAGAATAAAGTTAGAAAGATGGGAAGGACATGGGGAGAGCTCCATGTAATGGTGAAGGATAGAAAGACTTGCGTGAGTTGGTTGAGGGCTTATGCTCCATGGGGGGATAGAAAGGCAGAAGAAGAATGGCACAAGTGACTGAGTAAATTTTCATATTGTGCCTGATGGGGTGCACAGAAAAAAGGTCAATATTATAGCCAATAATTATGGTGACTATCCTGATGATGATTATGACACTGAAAGATGAAGATGTTTTTTAGAAAAAGATGACCAATAAAATGACAACAGCAGTGGTAATGTTTTATTTATTTATTTATTTTTTTACCAAAAAAATAGGGAATACTTAAGGTATAAAACAGACTGATGATTTATTATAATACAGTGAGTGTAAAAATAGTTTCAAAATTCAAACATGATGGTTTCTGATCTTGAAAAAAAAAGACTGGAAAAAAAAGGATGATAATTATGGTAGTGATGCTGAGATACTGAAAAAAAAAATATCAATAACTTAAGTTCCATTTGATGGAATAGAGATGTTTTGTTACAGTAGTGTAAGTATCAATGACAAAATAATAAAAAAAATGCTAACCTGCGCACTTCGTGGCATCTGCATTAGCCATGGAGAAATCTTTATCTCAAGACCCCCTGTCCTACAAAAAGTGTAAATAAAGACAGCAAACACAAGGAGCGGTCTTCAGCATGTGGGTTTATTAAAGGCTGCAAGAAGACTAGTGCAGTGGCCCACTCGCCCTCCTCCTGGTTTTGGAGATTTGAAAAATTATCACGTTCAACTCAACACTGACTGACATGGGAGCTTGAGGTTATAATAATTGTGACTAGGGTGTGCGCCATATAAACTAGCTTAGCACCACACGCCACCAAGTGCCCTGAAAAGTACTGTAGCGTTGATGTAATCAGAGGAGACAGCGACTATGACTATACTCTCCCGACCAGCGACGACGTCGCCCACCGGCGAGCAACCCAGTCGCCGATTTCGCTACTGGTCATATCATAAGTACTAAAAGTTCGACTTTTTACTTTGTACACCGAATCTACTGAGGCAGTTTGTCATTGACAATCAATAAAACTGCTGCTACTATATATTTAACGATAGTTAATTTTCGGGCGTTGAAACTCAAACTGAAACAGTTCGCACGTAGTCCGTCACAAAACAGAAAACACACAAATGAGTGAAAATTGAAATAAAAGCAGTTTTACCATATTAAACCAAACCGCCCATTCCTCATTCATGCCTCCTGAGGCTTAAAAAATCCACCCTTGGGGCCCTCCAATGGCTTAAACTTTGTTTAATTTTGCATTATTTATAACGGTTGTTTTCATTATTATGATAAAGCACTCCTACCATATAAACATGAACATAGACAAGAGAAAAGCAACAGACTACACAGCTCAGAAGAAATGGTGAGACTGAAAATAAATACAAGAAAAACTAAAATCAGGACAAACAGTCCAAACCAACAACCAGTGACCTTTAATAACCAAACACTTTCAAATGTAGAACAGTTTACATATATTGGCAGTGTGGTTTCCCTTGTGGGAGGGGCAGAGGAAGACACACAGTCACGCTTAAACAAAGCTAGAGCCGCTTTTGGAAGGATGAGGCAAATCTGAAAATCCAACACTCACTGCACAGGAACGAAACTCCGACTCTGCAAGAGCATTGTTTTGCCAGTTATTCTGTATGGATCAGAAAGCTGGAGAATGGCCCACACACACAAGCTATCCACCATCCATCAACACATGTCTACGTAGAATTGTAAAAATTGTCTGGCCAAGTACAATCTCAAACACTAAACTACTTCAAGTCACAAACCGAGAAACTCTAGTCAGTATGATAACAAAAAGATGGAAATGGCTTGACCACATTATGAGAATGAATCCTGATATACCTGCTAAAACAGCTATAACTTGGGAACCAGAGGGAAAGAGAAAGAAGGAGCGCCCAAAAACAACATGCAGACGAACGAGGAAAGTTGAACTAAGCGCTGCATCCCTAACATGGAAAACTGCACTGAAGATTACACAGGACAGGAAAACATGGGAAGACCTCTCTGAAGCTCCATGTGCCACTAGGCATAAAGAGAACTGATTGTTAATATTGTTAGCATGTGTCCTGAATGGCAATTACAAAGGTCGATTTTGAAGAGGGACAAGAATGATACGTGTATTGAAATAGATTCGTGAGGACAAAATGTCAAAGACCGTGTTGCGTGGAAGGGGAAATCAGGAAAGAAATGGGAATAAATGATACTATTATTACAGATAAACTGACAGATAAGCATCTGAGAAGAAGCGCACGAAACACAAACGATGGCAACAACGATTCTGAAACCCTACTGTGATTGTGGAAGACTGTTCTTAAAACGAGCAGCATTGATAGTCGAACTCGCCATCACAATGGGCTGCGATTCCCATACCTCCCCATTGCACAGCATAAAATTATCGGCTGGAAAGATTGCAAGATGCAAACGAACAGATAATTAAAAACTACTCAACTGGAATCATAGATGTATACTGAGGTCTGTCGAGTTTTCACTACTGAAGCAAAAATGTGCCGAGACTGATATATTCGAGATTTGTGTCTGTGTGTGTGTGTGTATGTGTATGTTTGATGGCACTTCGATTAGCGTGTGGTATACTAAACGTGAATGAGTTGAGCTTAGTTTAAGAACCGACATCACTGCGGTCGGGATATTCCCATAAGCGTGCCGTCCTCATCTTCAGCACCAGCACTGAGTTCCAGTTCTGATGGTACAGGTAGAAGTCCGATTCTGTAAACTTCTTACCTGTCCCCTAAGTACTGAGTGAGTGTCGGCCAGATCTCGTGGTCTCCTATTCAATGCAGAATGTGATAGACTATTTGTACCTTAGCACTAATCACTGTTGTAAGAGACCACTAACGGTAGGGTTGGGCTTTAGGGTGTGTGTGTGTGTGGGGGGGGGGGGTGATGGGTGTCTAGCTCATCTGAGAAAACACTATAGCCACTCAACCAATCAGCTATGCACAAGAACTAATATCTACAACATAACATGTGACTAGAAAGCTAAACGGGGAAAACAATCGAGAAAAAAAAGGGGGGGGGGGGGGGGAGGGTGGTGGTGAATGAAAACGAGGCACAAACATACAGCGGAAAGTTTCAAACAAAGTCTTTATCAACGGACGGAGTACTAACTGCAAAACAAACTGACTGGAAAACACAACGGAAAAGACAACAAAGCTTTTAAACAACTAAGGTCGACGTAAAAACGTGAAATACGAAATATGACGGGCTATATTACGAAACGGAATAAGTAGGAGGTGTTTTTTTTTTTTTTTTTTTTTTTGGGGGGGGGGGGGGGGGGGGGGACCCCGCGGAGAAATATAAACAATATAAATCAATCAAATCAAAAAAAAAAAAAAAAATTATACATAGTTGTGCTCAACAGTGATCCCAATTAGTTACCCCTTTTTACGTAAAAAATGAACAAGTCGAATATACGCGAAGAGTTAATAAATCAAAAGTTATGATGACTTGGTGTGACTTGATTTGACTTTGATTTGATTTGATTCAAGAACTGACATCACAGCACTCAGAACATTCCCATAATCACTCCGTTCCCATCTTCAGCAGCCAGCGAAGAGTTCCGATACTAATCGTACCAGTAGCTTAGTGTGACCTGACTTAAGGCATGTAGCCAGCCTCAAGACTCTCACAAAGCATGACACTCCGTTACTTGCCTGAGAACCTTTAGAAATCTCCAAAACATGTTGATTTGCACACATTCTTCTTCTTCTTCTTCTTAGCGTTCATGGCAGAAAGTTGTGGTTGTTCGTTCACTCCTAGATTTTGGACTTGATCAGGAAATTTACTTTGACGTGCACATCCGTTTTACAATTCATGCTTATTTTTATGCAGACTATTAGTTCCTTGCCTTTCAGGTAGATGTACTTTGACTTTGAACGAAACACCTCTAATTAGTCGCCTCTTACGACATGTATGTTAGGAGATTAGTGTGCCTATTCTTTGTTCTCTAAAATGGAGCCCGGCAACCCATACGGGGAACTCGAAAACCCAAACCGAACAAACGACCGTCAAATCGGGAGGTAAATGACTTTGACCACCACGCCATTGAAAGATTTAGAACAGGTGCTCTTAAATTAATGCTGCGGCCCTTTAATACAGTTCTCTCATGTTGTTGCGACCATAAAACAATGATTTTCCTTCATAATTTCAATGAATATGTGTTTTCCGACGGTTATAGGCGATCCCAGTGAAAGGGTCGTTCGACTTAAAAAAGGTCGCGACCGACAGTTTGAGAACCTCTGATTTAGAGGTAACAGGTCCTAATCCTGGTGGGCCTAAAGACAAATCTCTGTCCACTAACTCTGTCCATTTCTCGTCGGAGAGTGCCATTTAATGATTGCCCCCGTCATTTTGTCAGCCTAAATGAAAATGACACCAAATGCGATTAACTGTTAAAGTGTTCTGCCTTTCTAACTCCCTTTGGAGAAAAGGCCCTCAACCAACTCACGCCAGGTAGTTCTATCCTTCGCTATCGCATGCAGCTCTCCCCGTGTCCTTCACATCTTTGCAGCTCCACTCTCTAGCTCCCTTCTCCGTGTGTTTTGGTTCTTCCTTTATTTCTATGCCTCTGTGGATACTAGTGCAAGGACATCACACCAGGAAAGATTTGCTTACAGAACCTGTCTGACTGGACAGACCTCAGGCAGGCCACCATGAAGTCCATCGCAACTGATCGCCAAAGCCGGAGAGAGCTGAAAAGACAGTCAACATACACTGATGACCAAACGGCACGCAGTATTGCTGGATTATGAATTAGTTCAAAAAATTTTTACCTCTAAAAATGTCCTAGTACCATTAAAGCTCTCCTGAGCTTCTGTATTCGTATTTTATTTGTTTGGTAATCATTTTGGTCATCCGAGAGCTCAATACACTTGTGATTCGATTAATAGCATCCTGAAGTCAATACAACAGTGCAAATCCCAGAAACCCGTTAAAACCTCCAAAAAAATTATAATTAGAGCGCCTATTGTTTGTTTGTTTTAGTATCCAGAAGCCATGAGTTGTTAACCCTTAGGCTCGGTATTATGGATATCGCAACCTTTCGGCCTTGATTCCATTGTAAATACCGTCAATCTGGGAGAAAATGTGGCTTTCCTGCCTACCCCCGGGATTGAACCCGGACCACAAGGAGTACGTCACCCGGTCTCTGCGAAATCCGGTTTAGCCAATTTCGCTAGAGAGCCGGGCAGAGTGCCTATAACGGTTACACAAAATAGTACTCCTGGTACACCTTGTCGTTCTGGATGGGTTTCGAATAATTTTTTCACTTAGCACTCACTGCGATGGCGTGTTTTCGTTTGTAAAGCAAATTTGTGTCAGGAATTTACTATGGCATTTTTGCCTGAGTTTTCGAAACTGTCAGTTCTAAACAATTCTATACACAAAAGCAGAACATTTGTAAGAGAAAATGACAGTTTATTTTTGTAATAACTGATGCAATTAGCAAGGGTTAGTAAATCATAAACAAACCTTTTTTGAAAAGTGTACCGGAACGGTTACAAGTGATGTGAAATGTACTTTTACATGAGAGCAAAGGACGGGTTTTTATGAACATGTCTTTTATATTCATTGTTGTGGTAATGCCTAGTAGTATCAAGGCTAACTATTTGTCCCAGAAACAGGACAAGAATTCTAAATGTAAAGGGACACAAATACGGAATGTAAAGGGGGTGTATGTAGAGCACAAAATTGCAGGATGTTTATTTTGAAGAATGACATTGCAGCAGTCATTGTAAAGGCATGTATGGATAATGAATAGAGAAGGAGACTTACACGCATATGTGTGTATATTTGTGTGTGTGTGTGTGTGTGTGTGTGTGTGTGTGCGTGCGTGCGTGTGTGTGTGTGTTTCAGGAGCATGTATACGTGTGTGGTAATTTATGTGTAATAGACACTTAGAAGAAATGTTATGGACGGTGGGTTCATATATACCTTACGTCTTTCTCACGACGTAATTTTTTTGTTATTTGAAGCCCCACTCTGGCTTTTGCCAGGGGCCGTAATATAGGCAGGCCATAAATATGGCCAAATGTCTGAACGCGGTTTCTGGGACCTCTCCACGGTGATCCTCATCCACATGGTGGCACGTTGTGTCATCGGGTGTTTATCGCTTGTGTGATGTCCTAGTGGGGTAGAAAGTCACTCACTCACAAAGACACACA